TCATAGATCCCCCTGCTGTGACTTTAAATAATCGGCCTTAAGTATCTCCATCCAAAGTCAGGTTCTCCCCAAGGTGAGGGAGTCGGACCAGGTGCAGGGAGCTGGACTGCAAACTGCAGGCCCCTGGCAGCTGGGGTGCCCGGAGGGGCTTCCTGGGGTCTCTGAGGTCCCGGGGGGGGTGTGGTGGGGCCACCAGCGGTGCCTCCACACCTGCCAAGCTGCGCCGCCCTGCCTGAGACCCTCACTTTGAAGATGAGGAAGCTGAGCCCCAGAAGGACCCTCCCAAGGCCAGTTCTCCGTCGCTGAGACCAGGGATGGTGACACGGCAGGCCGGAGGGGACCTCCCACCCTGTCCCAGCGGCGTCTGCAGCCCCCTGCCCCTGCCACCCCCGCTCTGCCCGCTCTTCCTGCCCTCTCAGCAACCCCCCCCTGCCCCCCCCCGCTGCCTGGCCCCTGACCAGAGGATGCACCTTTGTGTCCAGCCTGGTCGTGGCCCTGAGCCTCAGACCGGAACCCACACTGAGGGACAGCAGAGCGGTCCCCTTCCGCCCACCCACTCCCTCCCCCTCAGGGAGTGGCAGGGCCCACACCCAGCCCTCGGCAGCCTGTGCCCCCACCTGTCAGGGGCAGATGCCTGCACACAGGCAGGCGAGCCCCCGGGGACCCAGGGGGGCAAACTGGGTTGTCTCAGGGTGAGTGGGTGCCAGGCTTGGAGCCGGGAGTGTCCAGTCGGTCTGGGGACGGCCAAACCTCACGTCAAAGGGCCCCTGTGGGCAGTGAAGGGTCAGGGACGGGGGCTGAGGCAGGAGGACTTGCCCTGGAAAGGCTGCCCGCCCCACCCGGCCCCTCTCACCCCTGGCCTGGGCCAAGCTGCAGGAGTCCAAACCCAAATTCTCCCCCCTAGCTCCCCACCTCCCAGAGGGGGTTTCTGGTCCTCCCTTCACCTCCCCCCACCCTCCCACCAGGGCTCCCTACCTGGGTGGCGGGGCTCCATAGTTCACGGGCCCCAGGCAGCCGGTGACCGTGTTAGGAGCAGGCCAGGACGCCCAAACCTGATCCTCCCCCGCCTGTTCCACTGGCCTCCCACCAGGTTTCTCGCCTGCCTTGTTCTGGGGGGAGTAGGGAGGGAGGGCAGGTGGGAGGAGGGAGAGGAGGGGAGGAGGGCCCATTGTGTGGGGAAGGAGCCTCATTGGCGGGGCAGTAGTTTGTGACTGTCCGCTCTCTGCTCTGATTGGCTGGTTGAGAAGGGGGCTCCGCAGGGCCTTGGGACTCAGAAGTTTGTGCCGCAACTTTTTCCAGCGTGAAGTGACCGTGGTCCCAGGCTGCGGCGTGAAGGCGGCCCCGCCCCGCCAGGATGACGCTCTGCGGGACCTTCCTGGGTGCGTAGCCCCCCAGCCCACGCCCCCCTCCCCGGGCCTGCTCACGTGCTTCTGCGGGGACGCCGAAGGGGCTCCTGAGCTGGGCGTCGCCGTCGGCACCGAGTGCTCCCGCCTGGGCAGCAGAGGAGGTGACAGACACGGCCCCTTCCGGAGAGAGGCCAGACCCGAGGAAGTGTGCGGCCTGCCGCCCCCTCCAGCTGGCCTCCAGCTCGCAGACCCGTCACGGCCGGCCTCCCTCGGAAGGTGGGCGGCGGGGGGGCCGCGGGGGAGGGTGCGGCGCCAGCGGGCGCCGGCTCGCGGGGAGGGAGGGAAGGCGTGTGCGACGGAGGGGACTGCGCGGAGGAACGGAGGGGCCGGGGCGGGGCCTGGCGCCCGTGTTCCCGGCACGTGCGCCTTCAACGCAGCGCCCGAGCCGGAACCGGTGTGCGAGCCCCGCTGCTGCTCCCGGACGTGCGCGTCTCTGTGCGCACGTGCGTCCACGCAGCCTCGGGGGTCGGCGTGTTGGGTGTCTCAGCGTGAAGCAGTCTCACCACGCAGCCTGGAGAGTGCGCGTGGGCGAGAGGCAGGCGCGCAGTCAGCCCCGGGTGCCGGCGGCTCCGGGTTTTGTTTGCTCCATCTGCCAGCGCCCGCGGGGCCGCGCCCCCCTCCCCCTGCGCCCTCAGCTGTTCATATACAATATTAATGCCGACCACCTCGGCTCCGCACACCACGGCCTTAATTGTCGTCTGCGGCTTTAAGGCAGGCGCCCATCTGCAGGGAAGCTTTCAGGGAAAACAACAACAACAACAACAACAACAAAAACCCAAGAAAATCCTCGCCCCCAGCTGGTCACCAGAAAAGGTGGTGCCAGTTGCAGATGCAGAAAGTTCAGACCAAAATTGCTTGAAAGAGTGTTTATGAAGCAGATGAACAGGCGTTCGGAATGTCTGTGCGCAGAGTTGCACGAGGAATTACACTGTATCTGAATCGTCTTTCCGCCCGGCAACCGCCCAGCCTGCTGCCCCCGCACAGGCCGCAGCCCCCTCCAGCTCCTCGGGCGGAGTCGGGCCCCTGTCGCCGGCGGAGGCTCCTTCCCTGCGGACGTGCCCAGACTTCGCCGTCGGACGCGACTTCCCTGTCAGACTTAACAGAACCGCTCTGCTCGGTGCTCAGTTACGGAAAAGAAAATGTCTTAGGTTTAAAGTGGCCTGACTGCCTGTCACCTGGGTAGGAAAGTGTGCCTGGCTGTTGTCACCTCCGAGCAGGGCTGGCCGCTGGCAGGGTGGGGGGACACTGGGAGGCAGCCCGCCCAGAACAAAGGCCCCGGGCGGCGGCGCTGTCCGAAGTGCTGATCGGACCGCGGGCGCCGCGGCCTCCCCGCCGATCGGCTTTCCTCGGCCGCCGCCGGACCTCAGAAACGGGCCTGCGAAGCCCCTTCCCTGCCCCGTCCTTTGTTCTCACGCCGCGTCGGCCGGCGGAGGCTTCTGAACCTGTGCGCGTCCAAGCCTGTCTCCTGAGGGAGCTCGCAGCCTCCCCGCCCGGCTCGCGGCCCGGCCCCTGCCGTGGGGCCCTCGGCTCAGGGAGGGCGGCTCCGGGCGGACCTGAGAGGTGCCGAGACTTGGGCTTGGGCAGACGTAACTTTGTTACCTGGACAGGGGCCCTGCCGCCCCAGGTCTCCCGTGGTGCGTGCAGATTGGCCTCTCCCTGGCGGTGCCCGCGTTTGCGGTCCTTCCCCGTCTGACTGCTGCGTGTCTGAGTTGAGTGCTTTCTCGAGGCCGTGGGCATTGCTGGGGAATCGGCCGATTCAGCACCGGCCCTCCCCTGGCGTCTGTCCCCGCTCCAACAATGGCGTGCCGGGCCGCCGGAGCCTGCAGCCTGCTGATAAGCGCTTAACAGAGTCCCCTCGCGCCAGAGGTTTGGGGGCAACCTCTCCCGGCGCCCTCGGCGTGTCTCGAGGAGACGGAAAACGGCTTTTCGGAGAGCTTGCGGTGGTGTCCTTCCGTGCTGATGGACGTGAGCGTCCGGGGAAAGGACAGCAGCTGCAGGCGGTCACTGGAGGTGCCTGTCGCTCGGCTAATCAATATTTCATCCCCAGTTTGGCCACCGGAGGCTGGCCTGTGTTTCCCTTTGCTCAATCTGAAAGATTGCCTTCCCTGTGCCCAGTGCCCCGGGCTCTCGTGTGTGGGGGACGTCGCGTGTCTGTGCGGAGCTGAATGCCCCTGCTTGCGGGTTCCCTCAGCACGCCACGTGCTGGTCTGTCTGGCCCACGCTGCCGGTGGCCCGAGCCCTCTAGTGCCAGTCCGGCTGGGCCATGGCGCTCCTGAGCGACTTACCCGGAAGTGGTGGCTGCTGCCTGGAAATCTCTGCCCTGAACTCCTGAGCCGGGGGTCCCTGGCTCTCACGGGGGCCGGGCAGGTGCCCGAAAGTGTCTGACAGCCTGGTTATGCTGATGGACGGCTCTGTGCCCGAGTTGTCAAGAAGGAAAGGGAACTTGAGTAGTAAGCGAGAGTATCTAGGTTCCTGGGTAGTCTGGGGAAATTCCTGCATTTACCCCTGAACGTGGAAAAAAATCGCAAAGTGACAGATGAGAAAACAGACAACTGGTTTACCTAAGGGGGGGGTTGGGGTGGGCACTTCTATTGTGTGTGTGGTGGACTTTGCTCCTCTTGGCTTTCTCTGGAGAGCTCCTTCTGGCAGTTCAGAGCAGATTTGGAAAGGCAGAGCGGAGAGCGTGAGGGCTGCATTCCCTCCTTAGGGCTTCAGGGGTACCCACGCTCTCTTCCAGAGAGTTTAGTATTTTAAAACTTAAAGCAGAGAGGGAAGGCGTGACAAAAGAAACGTGTCGTTTCCTGGGGGACCCTTTGTGTGTCTGAGTGTATTTTGCAGGCTGTGGCCGTGGATGCTACTTTGCACCTGGACACAGACCCCCACGGGGGTCTCGGGCTGAGCCTGCAGGGGGGCCACAGGCCGCCCCCGCTCCCTGCGAGGGATAAACCCTGCCCCGAGCTCCTTGCTACCAATAAACATTGTGGAGCACTTTGCCTGCAGCCGCGCTAACCGGGGCATCTGTCATTCCGGTTGCTGCTATTAGGAATTATTGGACTGAACCACTGGCGGAGAAAGCACGGGGGGGTGAGCGTGGCGGTGGCAGGGCCGCCTGCCCTTCTGTGTGTTTTGCATGAAAACAGACCCCATCGGTGCTGCATGTTAATGGTAAATCAGCGTGGGCAGAGGCAGGCACGGGGCTCTGGCCACGGCTCGGGGCCGCCGCAGGGGGCTCTGCCGGCCGGGCCCCTCTCGGCTCCCAGGTCAGCAGCCCCATCTCGCTGATGCTATACTGTAAATTTATTTCACCTCGGAGAGTAAACAGATATATCGGCGCCCCAAGGGTTCATGGGTAGCGTATTTACAAAGGAGCCTCTCTGCCAGCCCGTGCCACCGCTGCTAATGAGAGCGGTCATTAAGTAAATGAGACGTCGCCTCCCGCTGGCTGGGGGCTTGCGCGCCGAGGGGAGAGGACACCGCGCCGAGACCCACACGCAGGCGGCCCCCGTGTGACGCGGGGGAGGCGGCTGCCCGCCCCGCCCCCGGCCAGCCCGCACCCCCCATGTAAATTTCATGATTGCTTTCCGTGATGTCATTTTGAGCGAGGACAGACAATAGCTGTGGGGAAAGGTAAGTCCGTGTTTCGCTCTCTCGCTGACAAAGGCAGACGCCTGGTGCCCGGCTTCTCCCCGCCGAGGGGGACAGGGCACCGCTGGCGGCCGCGATGGGGGCTTTCTTTGCTGGAGGAGCGGGTCTGGGGGCTGCTCTTTAGAGCCTCGCTGTTGGACGCAGGCCCCCCCCCCCGTCTGCCTACCGCTGCCTCCTCCTCTCTCGAGGTCGTTCCGGGCTCGCTCACGCGCTTGGCCTCTCGGGGCCCAGTGGACGGCCGTGCGTCTGCCGGAGGAGACACTGGGGGGACCTTGCACGCAGATGAGAAACTTTGTGCAGGTTTCTGGGGGAGGAGCAGAGACGCACCTGCCGCCGGGGGCAGGGGGGACCCGGTGGCCGTGGCCCGGGCAAGATGCTGGCCCTGCCGTCGCCTGCGGGCTCGGCCGGCGCGGGGACGGAGGCGTGGGCCCCCGCCCGTGACTCGGAGTGCAGCTGGCCGTGCGAGCGTGCGGGCTCCGTGCGCCACGCGTCCCCGGAGTTGGGGAGCGGGGTGCAGGTGCGTGCGTCTGTGGGCAGGCGTCCCGGGCTGAAGGGCCTTCCCTCCCGCTGCCCTTCTCGCGAGCCGCTGGTCCCGCGAGCTGTTGTTTATGTGCCTGTGTAACTGCACCTGCGAACTGAAGACTGAGAATCAGGGCCGGCCACGCAGCCGGCGTGAGCTCGGGGCAGCGTCGTGCCCTCACCTGCAGGGTGACGCGTCTGGGCCGGGGACATTGTCCACTGGACGCACTTTCCTCTTTGTGACCCGGGGACACAGCCGAGCCGGGGGCTGCTGGGCGCGGGGCCCTCCTCCTGCCACCACGGCTGCGGCCGATCTCTGTGTCCCTGTCATCGGCGGACACCCCTGGCCGGTGGAGTTTGCTTGATTCCTGAACCAAACGCCTGTGAGGGGGCTCTGGGGGCAGGATGTGGGCTGGGGCTCGGGCCATTGGACTCTCCCTGGGATGGTAGCAATGACACCAATCACCATCGTCACCCTTTGGGCAGAGGGAGGGGTTTTGCGTCGGCGGTTTCACAAGAGTCGGAGAGACCAGCCAAGGTCCCCGAGGCCGGTGGCCGAGGGAACAAAAGGCGGGCGGGTGCTGGGCAGCATGGGGGGGCGCCCCCGGCGAGGTGTGACGGGGTGCGCTCGCTCTGACCCCGCGGTGGGGGGAGTTCCTTGCCACCAGGGCTCCCCCCACTGTTGGTCCTTGCTGTGGTTATCACTCCTTCCATATGCTCTGCCAATTAAGGGTAAACAAAAGAGGGGCCTGGAGTCTGAGGTGCCGGCGCGAGGGTGTCGGGGAGGGTGTCGCCCACGGGCAGGACCCAGCCCAGCTTCCCTGGCTGGTCGCTGGGCGGAGGAGGTCGGCCAGGGCTTGATGTGAAGAGAAGGAGGCATGTGTGTGACCCCGGTGCCCCTGGAGCTGGGGACGGAGTCCGAGCAGCAGCCCGACTCCTGGGTGGTCCCAGGCTCCCCGCGGCCGCAGACAGTTGGATCTGGAAGCCTGTCCACCTCAGAGCCCCCTGAGTCCGAGGGGCCCAGAGGTGGGCCTGGGCACTCATGCAGGCCAGGGGGTCACTCCTGACCCGGGGCCTGTGGGACCCTCAGTGTTGCTCAGGACGAGAGGCAGCCCCCAGTCCTTGCAGCCAGTACACCTGCTCAGAAGGTCCTGGCAAGGGGAGACTCTCCCCGGTGGCTCCTGGTGCCAGACAGCAGGGTCCCCAGGCAGAGGTGACCCCACGCAGCAGGCAGAGCCCTTGGGGCTGAGTGGGTGCTCTGTCCCAGGCATCACAGTGGCTGTCACGGGAAAGCCGTGTCGGGACTCTGAGGTGGCAGGGAGCTGTGGGTGAGCGTGTGCCCCCAGCATCCTCAGCCCTGACCCCGGTGGCTCTGCTTCTGGCTGGAGTCTGGTGGGGCTGTTTCCGGCGCTCTCCCTGGTGCTGCCCAGAGCCTGGGCCCCTCCTTCCTCCTCCTGCCCCACTGGCCTGGCGTCCCCCAACGCGCCCACGAGGGCCTGGTAACCCTGTGTGAGCGTGGGGTGGGGGTGCTGGCTGGGGTCTGCAGGGCGCAGGCAGCCCGGACCTGGGCCGACCTCCATCTGGGTGGCCCCATGCCTGGGCGGCGGCCGCACAGCCGGGCGTGCGGGTTTGCACGGCCCGGCACTGGGCACAGCGGCAGGACGAGGTGCAGAGGGGCCCCCGGGGGGTGGGCATGCTGGGGGCCTGTGGTCCTCCTGGACGGAGGCCTTGTGCTGCAGGCCCCACCTCCGCAAACGCCTCTGCCGGCGAGGGCGGCCAGAGGGACAGGAGTGACAGCAGCCGGCCGGGCGGGGGTGCCGCCGGTCACCTGATCCGCGGCCAGCAGGGCGCTGGGCAGCCGGTCAGACGCACGTCAGTCACCCGCCTGCTGGGGAGAGCGCTGCGCCGGCCCCGCCCGGGAGGGCCGGCCCCGGGCCCTCGCTGTGGGTGCTCTCTGGCCCCCTCGCCCCGGCTTCCAGGCCCCCGCCCTGCCCGTGCGCTTTCTTTGTGGACTCCTTCATGAATAAACCAGGGGCTGAGCGCCCTCGCACGCAATTTCCACGGGAGTTCTGCGGTGACGGTTTACAGGAAAGCGGTCTCGGGAGCCGGCGTCATCAGGAGATTAGTCAGCCCGAGAACGCTGCTTCCCGGAAGGGGTGAGAGCGGCCCCCGCAGCCCCCGCAGCCCCGTCCTTCCTCGGCGCCCCCCACCCCCACCCCCACCCCCAGGCGGCCCAGCCCGGGGGGCTGCGGGGCCTGGGGCGGATGTCCAGGTTCTCGCAGTATTTTCTGCCTTTCACGGACACTGAAATCTCCGAATACTGCTTTAAAACCTCAGTCAAGCCGAGGGGGGAGAGAGGTTTTCACACGACTCGAGAGGCGGCTGCTCTCAGAGTCCGGAGCCTGCGTCAGCGAGGCCAGACGCGTGATGTGTGCGGGGGGCGGGGGGCGGGGGGCGGGGGGCAGGTGGGCGGGGGGGGGGCACAGCCTGCCGGAGGCTCCTCGTCGCCGCCAGCGCCGCCGGAGCGAACCAGGGCCCATCCGAGCCCTCCCCGCCCTCGCGGGCTCGGTGCACGGGACACAGGGCGCGTTCCTGGTGCGGAGGGGCACTTTGCCCACCGCTCCATCCCGTCTGCACTTCTGAATCGGCCCCCACAGATGCAGTGCTGTTCAGGGGAGCGACGGAAGCTGGGCGGGGGGCGGCTGTGAGCTCTGCCAGGGTTAGAGCGGCGGTCGGCGTGGGGGCGGGGGTGTGGACCCGCACAGGGTGGGCATCGCCACCTCGTGCCGCCGTCCCGCCATCTGGGCTCTGCGCCTGCAGCCCCACCTTCAGCTGCGCCCCAGCAGCTGCAGGGGGTGGCCCCCGGGGTAGCCGGGAGTCCGTGGTCGCCTGTGCTGTGTGTGCTGTGCTGTGCCGGGGGGCTGATCTGGACCGTGGCTGGAACAGGGCCGCTGTGGAGGCTGTGTGTGCACGGCAGGCCCTTGGAGGGTGGGCGCTCCGTGCTGCCCGGAGGGCTGGCGAGGTGCGAGTGGGCACACCGTGAGCTAGATGTTGGGGCTGGGGGGGCGCCATCTGGCCTTGCGCCTGGCTTCACACCTTGGGGTGTGGGGCTGAGGGCTCTGGTGGAAGCCACCTGGGTCCCCTCCTGTCCTCCTGTCGTGTTGCCTGAAAGCCGCACATGGGAGAAGCAGCAGCAGGACCAGGCCCTGGAGCCGCAGGCCCGGCTGCCCTCCCCCCTGTGGGGCTCTCGCTGGACCCGGGGCCTCGCACCCCTCCCTCCCCGTGCCTCCTGCTGGGGTGGGGCCTGCACACGCTGTGGTGCCAGGTGCCTGCTGACAAGGTCCAAGAGTGTCCCTGGGCTCCGAGACCTCAGGGCCGAGGCAGCGAGGTGGCAGGTGTGGGGTCCTGGGGCGCGTGAGCCAGGCCACGGCTCTGAGGGCCCCTGACGTGACCCGGCTTCCCCGGGCGGGTGTCTGGCTGAGCCGGCTGGTCGCGACCTTCAGAGTTCACTCCCACCGTCTTCGTGGGATTCGGAGAGTTACCTGCTTCAGGTCCCTGCGGAAGGGCCGGCGGTCCTCTGCGAGGCATTGTGGAGGCCACACGCCGCCGCTGACATCGGTGCTCAGAGCCAGGGCCCTGCCGGTCCCGGGGTCCCGGACAGTCACCCACAGTCCAGGGCCCGGGCTCGGGGGCTCAGGGTGGCCTGTTTCGCCACCAGACCCGACGGAACCGCACGCTCATGTGCCAGTCGCCGGGGGCACATGAGATCGTGCCGGTCCTCACGCCCTCTCCCCGGCCCCCGTGTGCGCGGCAGAGACACGGCCTTGAGCTAGAAAGGGCTGGCTGCATTGTTTCACGGAGGACGGGCCACCGCCCGCAAAAATCGACACTGTCGTCCGCCTCTGTGCCGGGGGTCGAACGTCCCGTGCCCTGGGGGTGGAGGCCGCGGCGCCCCATCTTCTCGACAGGCCCCGAGGCAGGCCAGCCAGCTCCCAGGTGCGCGCAAGGTGTGGCCGGGTCAGACGTGGCTCCCTCAGGGCCAGCCAGCCCCCCAGGGCCCCAGCGCCGCCCCGGCTGCCGTCCGGCCTGCACGGCCCTCCCAGGAGGTGCCCTCGGTCTGCGTCCGGCCGGCCTCCAGCCCTACCCTCCGTCCCCGGGTCAAGGTCCCCGGCCGGCTTCCCCAGCGGAGTTTCCCTCCTGCAGCTGGACTTTCTCGTTCAAGGCTTTGGGCAGGCGCCACCGGGGCCTCTCTGGCTCCACTCTCGCTCTCTCAGGTGACTGGGCCTTGAACCACCTGTCTCAGCGGCTCTGTGAGGACACTGCACCCTCTTGGCACCTGTCCCTGCCCCCTCTGCGGGGCACCTGCTGGCCCGGGGCCGGCCCGCCTGGCAGGGGCCGGGAGGCAGGTGCTGCCCCGGGTTCCCTGGGCTGGACACGCCACTTGCTCCTCAGTGCTGGTTCTGGGGTTGGAAGGAAAGTGAGGTGAGAGCAAAAGCTGCCTAAATGCCCCACGGAGGAGTTTCCGTTCTGCATCCTCCGTCCACTCGGCTCCGTCCGAGGCCAGCTGTGCCCCAGGGGAACGGCGCCCGAGCGGCCGAGTGACCCCACGGAAGGGCTGCCTCTCGTTCTTGCTCCTTGCGGTCTGGTCTTGGAGGACCGAGATTCCACCCCAGCCGAGGTGGCTTCCTGAGGCCCCTGAAGCAGGTTACCTGGGAGGGTTTCCCTCCCCCGACACACACAAAGTGGCCGTGTCCACAGTTTGTGTGACTTGTGACAAGTGGGGCCGTGCCACCTTCTCTCATGAGAATTCTGACGCTTCTCAGAAATGCTTCTGCGCCACCGGGAAAGCGGGGAGGGGGGGACCCCCAGGCAGGGCCCTGTTCCCTCAGGGCGTCGGGAGCGAGGCGAGGGGTGGGTTTGGTGTGGCCCCTGACAGGCTGGGGGTTTGGGGCCCTGGTCCTGCCGCCCAGATGCAGGGGACGGTCAGCTTCCATCCAGGACCTACACGGGACCCCAGACGGGCTCGGGGGGGTGGTGGTGGGGGGGAAGCCAGGTTCCAGCCCTTCTTATGGGGGGGGTGTGCTCCCAGGCAGGGGTGCGACATCTGGGCCCTGGTGGGGTGCCCCCCATCCCCCCCACCGTGAGGCCCCTCATGGTCCAGAGTCCCACTGAGCGACCCTAAAAGGCAGCCGAGTGCCGCTGGGCGTGGCCGTGAGGCTCCCCACCAGGCGGAGCCGCTCGGAGCCCCGGAGCTGGGCCTAGTTTCAGTCTGCAGGGATGTCGGCCCTGGAGCGGCCCTCCCCCCAACAGGACCTGGGGGTGGAGTGCGGCCCCAGAGTGGCCTGGGCCTGGTCGGGGGTGTCCCCGCCTGGAGTGTCCTTTCCGAGTGGGGCGTGGGCACGGAGCCTTGAGCAGCTCTCCTGTGTGCACTCGGGGCGGGGCCCGTTCTGGTCGGGTTTGCTTTGGGGGCCCAGGCCGAGTGCGGCTCCGAGGGGGAGGGGGTGGCCGGTCCCCAGGCCGGACAGTCCTGGCTGAGAAAGGGTTTCCTGGCAGGAGTGGGGCTGGACCGGAGTCCTGGGAAGGCCCCTCCCGGCCCTGGGAGGCCGCTGTGCGCCCTGGAGGCCAGGGACCTGCCTGTGCGGGGCCCCAAACCAGTCCTCCGGCCGCCCCGGGGGCAAGGCCCGTGCCACCCCTCTGTCACGCTGCCTTGTCCTCCTCTGCACCCCGGCCGCACTCCAGGAGTGAGACAGCCTGGGGGGCCGGGGGCCTGCTCCCCTGAGCGCGGGGGCAGCCCAGGCTCTGGGCCGGGGTGGGGGGTGGGGGCAGCAGGTGGACACAGAGGAAGAGCCGGCGGCAGTTGCAGAGTCCCTGGGGGCTGTGGGCGGGAGCAGGGGGCCGAGTGGGTGTCTTCCCAGCACCTGCCTGGCCTCGCCCTTGGGTGGGTCAGGGCAGTCGGAGGGGCCCCCACCCTAGCGCCTCCTGCGTCCACGCAGCCCTGGGGCTCCATCGCCCTTGGGCCCCCCAGAAGGGGTCCTCCTCACCCCTGTCCTTCCAGCCTTTCCTACTGGCCGGGAGGGCCGCTGCTCCGGGCCCGCCTTCTGGGCTGGGGAGCACGTGTGCCAGCTCCTGAGAGCACCCCGGGGCCCTGTCAGCCCCGATGGAGGCGGCGAGCGGAGCCAGAGAGGACCCCTGCGGGAATCCGCGTGGGCGTCGGCGTGGCGCCCCGGCGCCCGCACTCTGGACACCTGCCTGGGTCGGAGGCCTGGCCGGGCACCCCTGTGTCGCTCCCAGGGGATGCGTGGCCTGTGCTGGGGGGGAGGGCACCCCCTCCCGCCAGGCTGGGACCCGCCCTCCCCTGCTGGCGGGCTCTACGACAGGCCGCCTGGAGGGCGTCCCGTGATTTGGTTTGGAAAGTCATTATTACCGCGAGCACTTTAGCTGCTGTTTTTACAGCCCGGGTAAGGTTAAAAGAAATAATAATAATAATAATAATGTAAGGGAGGCTCAGCCCCAGTAACTGCCTGCACCGTGCTATTTGCATTTTTAAGGAAACACTTCTTTGAGACAGCTTGGGTGAAAGGTCACCATTTGCATATAAATGGAAAAGAAAGTGTGCGAGGCTGGAAGTTACGTCGCATTATTTCCTCAGCGGAGAGCTGCCGTGGCAGAGATTAAGGGACACGGCTTGCATTTGGCTTTTATTGAATAGAGCGAGCACCAGCGAGGCCGATTGGGAGGCAAAATAATGAGAGAAATGTGCAGCGCGAGGGGCTGCCGGCCCCCGCCCCCCTCTCGTTTCCACCTAAACTCAGCAGAAGCAAGCAGGTCTGCCTTTGCTCCGCTCAGCAAGTCTTCGCTTCATTCCCGCTGAACACCCTTTAAGGAAAAAGGAAAGAAAAAGAGCAGAACGCCTCATTTGCCCTTCAGCCCTGTCTGCGCTTCCTGCCCAGTGCTGGCCCTTGGGTGGGGTGCCAGCGCTGCCTGAGGACCCCCACCGCAGCTGGGCCTCCAGGCAGGGAGGCCGGGGTGAGAGGGCACCCCGTCTTGGAGGCCCGGGCTGCAGGAGACGCTGTGGGGGGCAAGCGTGGGGTCTGAGGGTGTCCCGAGGCCCCTGCCTGGGGCCCGCGGCGTCCAGGGCAGTCAGTCCTGCAGCCCGTGCAGTCAGTCAGTTTGTGGGGGGACGGTGCTGGGAAACGGCGGGCACACCTCTTTCCCCACTTTTTATCGCTGAGTGGGCGTGCACGACCTGCTTTACCCACCGGGCAGTGGGCGTCATGTCGATGCACCGTCGTGGCTGCCGACCGGGGGGAGCCGAGGCCTCGGCACGTCCCCAGGACGGCACCGGGCGCCACGGTGATCCCCCCGCCCCTGCTATGGCCCCCGCGCCACCTGCACCACCCCAGGCAGAGCCACCGCGCCCCCCACAGTCCTCCCAGACCCCTGCCCCTCCGGCCCGTCTCTGGGCTCTGGGGGCTCGCCATGTCCAGGCGGGCGGTGCGCGGGGAAGCAGCCGTGCGATGCTGTGTTTTCCATCCGTCCCACGCCGTGCAATGCCGTGTTCTCATCTGTTCCACGAGGAGCACCTGGCTCCTCTGTGCCCCCGAACACGGCTCAGTGGCGTTCTGTCGTGTCCTTGCGGCCGCAGACGGACGCAGGGTCCCGACCACGTGTTGGCCGCCGGGAACAGAGGGCGGAGAAGAGCCGTGTGCCAGGCCCCGTGCGGACGCGTGTTTCCGTTCTCTCGGGCCTGGGGCCGGGGCCGCAGTCGGGGCCGCGTGGCGACGCCGTGCTAGGGGCTTGGGGCAGCTGCCAGGCGAGCTCTCCTTCCTGCCAGCGACGTGTCGGTGTTGCCGCCTCCTCACATTCTCTCTGACACTGGTTACTGTCTTTTCACAAACTGCAGCCACCTCTCGCCCTGGTTGGTGGGTCTCAGTGAACCGAGCAGGGCCCTCGGACCAAAGGGTCGCCGGTTCCATTCCCAGTCCCGGCACAGGCCTGGGTGGCGGGCCAGGCCCCCAGCAGGGGGCGCGCAAGAGGCAACCACACACTGATGTTTCCCTCCCTCCCCTTCTCCCTCCCTTCCCCTGTCTCTCTGAAAATAAATAAAGGACATCTTGTAAAAAGAGAAAAAAACCACAACCACTTTGGCGAGTCGGTGGCTTTGATCCGCGTGCCCCCAGGGCTGCGTGCGGAGCACCTTTGCGTGTGCGCCGTGGCGTCGGCACGGGGTCTCGGGACGCGTGCCTGAGCAGGAGGGGGCTGGGCTTCCCTTCCAGCCTCCAGGGCAGGTGGCAGCAGAAGCCCCGGGAGCCCTCGTCTCCTGTCAAAACAGAAAACCAGCCGTCCCACCCCCATGCTCGCACTGCGCACCCCCACTGGGCAGCTCCAGGAAGCAGGAGGGACTTTGAGGGGTCGACAGGGCTGGGGCACCTGCTGGGGCGCCTGGTGTGGGGGGAGCACCCTGCTGGCACCCCAGACCTTGGCCCCTATGTCCTCCCTCCTGCGCCGCCTCCTCCTGTGAACTCAGGGCCTGTGTGACTCCCAAATGCTGTCCCCGCGGGCCTGTCATGGTCTGGAAATCTGAGCCCCCGCGTGCCCATGACGCCGAGGACCCAGGAGCTGGACAGTCACACAGTCGCACAGCTCCCTTCTCTGATTCGGGCCGTCCCTCCCAGGGCCCCCTGCAGGGGACCCGGGGCTCAGTGAGGGGGCACACAGTAGGCACCCAACTGGCCCTTTGGGGACCTTGCATTGGGCGTCCCCTTGACAACCAGGCCGCTGCTCTCTGGGTCCTGCTCCTGGAGGTCCCGGAGGCCCTTTGGGGGCGCGGAGTCACGTCCAGCCAGAGGACACTGGCCAGGAGCCCCAGGGGAGCCTGGGGCAGAGGAGTGGAATTCTGGAGAAGCCGAGTGTGGGGGCCTGTCCGGCAGGAGGGGGCACGGCGGGCACGAGAGCGCCCGGCCCGACCGGCCGTCCCCCTGTCACGCAGAGGCAGGGAGCAGCCGCAGGAATTTTTATTTCCTGTTTTTATTGTTGTTCCTAATGACCTTCCTTTGAAAGGCGGCCGTCCTGGAAAGCCAGTCGTCATGGAAACAGGGAGTGCCGGCGGGGGATAGGTACACAATGCGTTTCTTTGTCACGTCCAGCTGATGCCTCAGCCTCTGCCTGTGAGGAATCAAACGTGCGCAGCGGGCGTCGTTGCAGAGGCCCAGGCCATGCCGGACACCAGGGCGGGGGCAGCACAGGGTCCCCTCAGGGACCCGCACCAGCCCAGGCTGGAGACCCACAGCGTGTCCCCTGCCCCCGACAGAGCGAGGGCCCTGAGAGAGCTCCTCCTCCGGCCCCTTGTGTGTCTGCTGGTGGCTTCCGCCCCTCGGCTCCTGCCCACGCCGCCCGCATGCACTCACTGTCCCCTCTCTCTGTCCCTCAGAAAATGAGTTCCGGGGCGAGCTGCTGAGCCAGAGGTGGACGTGCGGGGACAAGGCCGGCCGCTGCAGGACCCCGAGGCCCCCGGACAGGCGCGGCAAGGTGAGGCGCGGTGGGAGGGCTGCCCTGCCCCGGCCTGGGGTCTGGGCCCAGGCCCTTGTCCCCGCAGGTCCGGAGCGCACACGGCGGCTTCCTCACGGGTCCAGAGTAGGCGAGGCACAGGAGGGGGCGAGGGCCGCCCAGGATCTTCTCCCTTTAGATCCGAAGGAGAAAAGTGAAGGGCTGGCACAGACCCACCTCAGGACAGCTGCCTCCCCTCGCTGGCCGAGTCCCGCCCCATGGCCCCTTGGTGCTGGGCAGGCCTCCTCAGTGCCTGCAGTCCCTTCCCCGCTGTGGCCGCAGGCCGAGGGTCCCTGCACACGCGTGAGGTGTGGTCACCTCGCTCACGTCAGTCTTCCCAGGTGGCAGCAGATGGTCCGCGCTGGCGTAAAACCCACTGGTGGCGGGGGCCCTGTCCTGGGACACTGCATGTGCCAGGACCCCGCCAAGCCCCCCATCCTAGAAGCTCCTGAATCGTGCTCTGGGTGAAGCTGGGCCCAGGGCCAGGCGGCCCTCAGAGACGCAGACTCCGTGGGCCTTCTCCCCGGAGCCTGACTCTGACGCCCCGCCCCTCAGGCCTGGCCCCCCGGGGTGGCAGCTGAGGTGGGGACGCCGGACGGGAAGGGCTGCGGAGTTTTAGGTCGCGGCCTCGTCCGAGGTGCTTTGTCCGGCTGGCACAGCCCAGCGTCTTTCTTCAGACCCGGGTGGGCGGCTGGCTCGAGCCGGGTGGGGGGTCTGTCTCGGGACCCCCGCCCAGTTGGTGCCCTGCAGGGCCGTCCAAGCAGCCGGGGGAGAGGAGAAGCCATGACTCCAGTCCCACCTTTAGGTAAATGTTCACCACTTTGTTCGTCATGGATTTTCTGCATCAACGTTGATGCTTTAAAACATCGCATTAAACTGTGAGTTAATCTTGGTCCCTGAGCTGTTGTCTCCCCCCTACACCTACACCTGCACCCGAGCGATCCCCTCCCCAGCCTCCCCCGCCCCAGCCCCTCGGCGGGGCAGAGGTCAAGACCTCAGGCGTCGCCGGCAGCCTCAGCGGTGTCTCAGGGCCAGGCCTGTGTGGAGAGCAAGTCGCCCCAAAGCAACTGGAATAGCAGCGTCGAAGATCGCCGGTCCCAGACCGTCACAGCAGACAGAGTAACGACGAGAAAGCCTGAAACGTCTTGAGAGATGTGTTGGGACGCGGCGACGCGGAGGGAGCAAACGCCACAGGGGAACGGCGCCGCACGGGCAGGGGCAGCGGCGCCGGCGGGCCTGCCCGACGCGGGGTCGCCGGGGGGTCTTCGGCTCGTGGGCAGCGCAGTGTCTGGAAGCACCTCGGAAGGGGGCCTGCCTGGGCGAGACCCGAGGCCAGGGCTGGGGGTGGGGTCAGGAGGTGGGGGTCCCCGAGGCTCTGGCTTGGCGAGCCTGGGGAGGGACCTGCCACAGAGCGGCCGTGCGCCACCACGCCGGGCTCTCCGGCAGCAGCGGCCTGTCCCACTGGCCGGCGCTTCCCTGCTGGGCGGGGCGGGCGGGGCCCCAGCTGCTGTTCTGACGTGCGTGGGAAGGTCAGCCTCTGGACAGCAGAGAGGCGGGCGGCAGTGGCAGGACTGGCCGCAGACTGGAGGCGGGTGGGGCGGGGAGCTCGAGGCCGGGGGCCGCGGAGCAGCCTGCTGTGGTGGAGGCTGCCGCCGGCCTCTGGGTTCAGCACCGGGCCTGTGGACAGCTCACCGACAGGCCGGCAGGGCCGGGGAAGGGCTGGAGCTTGTGTTTGCTGGGAGCGCTGGGGACTGCGAGTGTGTGTGAGTTTCTGCTTCGGGAGAAAGGGACTTGGTGCTGGCGGTCGGTGTTGAAAGCTCTTCTTGGCCTCAAGGCGGGAAGCCTCGGGGCCCCGGCTGCAGGCTCGTGTGTGGGTGGCTAGAGATTCGGGGTCCAGGTTCAGCCGTGACGTCCTCCTGCCACGGACCCTGACTGGGGCTCCTGACCGGGGCTCCTGACTGGGGAGGGGGCACTGGCACCGGCGCCGCCTCCCTGGGTGGGCCCGACTCCCGCCTCTGGGCAGGCGGGGTGTCAGACAGAGGGGCTCAGACGTGGGGACCCCCTACCAGGGGTCCCTGTGCAGCTGTACTCCCTAACGGGGGGCTGCAGTGAGCTGGGGTCCCTGCTGAGAGGCCTCAGGAAAAGGCTCCCCGAGACACGAGTGGGCCGATGCCCCGTGGGTGTCCTTCCTGCAGCCCCGAGGGGCTGGTCTCTTCAGCTGCCAGGAGTCGGCCGACGGGGGGTGTCAGGGAACGTCAAGCACCAGAGGGGGGACAGGGCTGTCACCACAGGACCCGGGGAGCTGTGGTGGCTGTCGGGGGGTGCCGTGGTGCAGGCAGGGGGTTGCCCTCCAAGACTGGGGGGCGGAAAGCCGGCCATGTGCTGGGGGCTCCAGAGGCCGCGGCACCTGCCCGTCTCCTCTGAAGCCGGGGCTGCTCTGGGGCCGGTGGACTGGGCTCCGCACCGGGCGCGCGCAGGGAAAGGGAAGTGGGGAGGCAGTGCCGTGGGCGGGGGGGTCGAGGGGGTCCACGAGAGAGGGGCAGGGAGCCTCCTGGAACGCAGCCCCGAGGTCCTGAGTGGGGCCCGGGACGGGGTGGGCCGCAGCGCCGTCCACTTGCACGAGCGGGCGCAGCCCTCGCCGGGCAGTGAGGGAACAGAGTGTGCCCGGACCGCCACCCTGCCCTGGACAGAGGGGACGCTGGCAGGTGCTTCGGAGCCAGCAGGACGGTGACAGCCAGGTCCCGGCCCGGCCACCTTTGGTGTCCCTCTGTCCTCCTGACTGCGGCCACCCCTCCCTCCAGGCAGGGCGGACTGTGGCCCCCCAGGGGCCAGTGATGACCCCCTTCCTCTCCTCTGCCCCGGGGACACGGCAGTCCCCGCACTCGGGTGGACTGGACCAAGCATCCCAAGTCCGTCCTCACTCTCCAGCTCTGCCGGCTGCCGGGACGGGTTCTGAGTGAGACGAGGCAGTGACCTGTCCCCTCCCGCAGCCCAGGGCTGGGTGGACACCCCCGGGGCCCAGTCCAGGCCCTCAGAGACGTTCCTGGCTGTCCCCACTTGTCCGTCCATCCGTCCGTCCATCCATCCACCCATCCATCCTCGGGTCACCTGTGCTGAGCAGTGACCGGGGCTGCAGCCCCCCTCCCTCTGCAGGACACCGCAGCCCCCCACTCTGCAGGACACAGCAGCCCCCCACTCTGCAGGACACCGCAGCCCCCCACTCTGCAGGACACCGCAGCCCCCCCGCAGTGGGAACAAATGAGTTTGTGTCGGGTGGGACTGGGGGGCCGTGAGGGAAGGAGCGCCCCTGGGCGCAGGCGTGGAGCTGAGAGGCACTGTTGCCCGGAGGCGGCCGAAACGGCCCCTGGTTTTCACCGACCCACCGAGCCTGTCCTCCCCACCAGCGCTCCTCTTGAGCTCTCCCCTGACCCCCTTTCCCTGGAGCGAGGGACCCTCGGGTGCTGTGGGGGGTGCTGCTCTGCCTGGGACGCCCTGCAGGGCCAGGGTGGCAGGCTGTCCGGGGCTTCCCGGGGCTGGGCCTCAGCGGAAGGGCAGGGACGCGGCGCCGGGTGGGCTGCAGGGTCGCTGCTGGTCCGGGAGGGCTTGGGAGGAGCAGGAAAGACAGGTGTGAAAGAGGGAGAGAGACTGGGGCTGGGGTGAGCGGGGGAGCGAGAGAGGCAGGGAGGGGGCCCTGCAGAGACCACCCCGGGGCCCCGAACTTGGGGGGCGCAGCCTGTGGGCCGCGTGGGCCGGACTCCCGCACACAGAGCCCCCGCCGTGTCCACAGTGTCGCTGGCCGGATCCGAGTGCCGCTCGCTCCCCGCTCGGCCCAGTGTCCACGTGGACCCCCAGGTCCAGGGGCTGCGGACCGCATGTGCTTGCCTGGGGCCCGAGTTTGTAAGCGTCCGACTCAGGGTGGCCGGTGTGGGCGAGGGCGGCGTGCAGGCGGGTCTGGAAGGGGCCAGCCTCCGTGGCCGCCCAAGAGCCGCCTGCACGGGGAAAGCGCTGACGCAGTGTCTCGGGACTGGCAAGCGCAGAGGGGTGCGGCAGTGGCAGCCCTGGGTGGGGCCTGCGTCAGTGGCGGCACGAAGACACGGTAACCGGAGGGCCAGGAGGCCGGGGCTGCGTCTGCGCCTGGGAATGACTCCCCCCTCGTCCCCCACCGAAGACAGGACTCGCAAAGCATTCCCGGGGCTCAGAGCTGGGTTGGGGAGCACGGGGGTGTTCTGAGGGGGCTCCCGCCCCTGGAGGAGATGAGGCTGGGGTGGCTTGGCTGCGGCTGCGAAAGGGGGTCTTGTCACCCTCAAAGAGGGACACCATTCAGGGTTTGGGGGTTTTTTTGGCAGCAGGAAAACAGGAACTCGATGGGGCTGTGCGTGGAACAAGGGAAGTTTTTAACAATAAATGAATGGGAAATTGGGGTGTGTCTTCTTGCCTCTGTGGGGTGGGGCTCCGCCCGGGACACGGAGCGGCAATGTCTGGGGCCCAAGGACAGCGGAGAGCCCGCAGCCGCTGAGGCGCCCGCAGTCTCTGGGGCTTGGAGTTTGATCACAGCCTTGCCCAGCGCAAGGAGGCAGCCGGGAGTGCCGGCGTGGAACGGCCCGGAAATCTGCCCCGCTGACGGTGCCCCGAGTCTTCAGCTCGGACGGATCCACCCTCGCGAGGAAGAGCCCTCCTCTCCTCCTGCACGGGGCGGCGTCTTCCCTGCTGGCACCGAAGCCGCACGCGCCGAAGACAGCTCTGAGGCCGTGCGACGCCGAGGAACTGCGAACGGAAGGAGCCCGGGAAGGGCTCGAGGGTGCGGCCCACCCCGCCGCCCTCCCTGCTCCTGGCTCTGTGGGTCCCGAATCCGCAGGAGGCCCCAACGGCCCGGGCGCTGGACCCAGCGGAACTCGCGCCAGTTTCCGCGGGAAACCCCACGGGGGAAGAGCTGTGGACTGCATCTCTGCGGCGAGCAGGCCGGCGCCCGGCGATCAGCGCGACTATGCACCCCGCACGGGTGGTGGGCGGGCGCTGCGGCCCCTCGGACGTACGGACAGCCGGCTGGCGCGCTTGGAGGCTCAGAGCCGTAAGGAAGTCCCTTGGGCGGCTGCCCCCTTCTCATCGGCCACCGGGGGGGCCCTGTCCAGAACAGAAACGGAGACTCCGTGTCCTGGACCGACTGCTGCCTGGACGCCGCCCCGGGTTTCGGTTTCTCCCCTTTGACAACCACGTGACTCGTCTTCAGTGCCGCCGGTGTGGGCACTCGCCCTGCAAGCCTCACCGTGCTGACGGGGGTGTCCTTCCTCCGTGGTGCCCAGACGGCCACTTCTGCCCTCTGGCGCCTCGAGGCGGCCGGCGGGACTGCCCGCTCTTCTTCCCGGCCACGGGGACAGATGGCGAGGCCCACTCTCCCGGGGCCTCCTGGGGTGCCCGGTGGTGGGCACAGGCTTCCCTGCCTTGGAGACGGGGAGCACGGGGAGCCCCCTGCCCACCACCTGCCTGCTGCCTCGCTGTCACCTGCCTGCCCGGATGCGTCGTGGGTGACGCAGGGCGAGGATCCTGTGTGACGGCCTGTGGCTCCTGGGGGCTCCCTCAGCTCCCTCGGGGGACAGTGCAGGCGGCACCCCCCGAAGTGGGTCAGGGGCAGGGGCTGCTGGTGGGGTCCCTGGTGGACTCCGGAGGGGACCTCTAGGCAGCACCCCTCACTCCGCCCTGGGAGCAGTGACCCCTGGAGGGGCTGCTGGGTCCGGTGACACGTTGGCCTGTGTCCATGCCTCGGCCTGGCTCTCACCGACACAGACTCCACCGCGAGAGCCACAGTGTCCGGCACGGCCCGTGGCCCGTGGCTGGTCAAACCCAGATGGGCTGGGAGCCCGGGACGTGGGCGAGGAGGCTTCCCGGGGTTGTCGTGGAGCAGGCCACCACTCGTGGTTTTGCGTGGATTGCTGTCGGACGGGCTGGGACTGTCGGGTGCAGACCGGGCTGAGCGAGGCAGCATTGAAACCAGCCTTAGCTGCTTCCTTCTGTGCCCTGACACAGCCGTGGGAGCGTACGCAGTGACGAGGGTGACGCCCGCTCTGGGCCCCCGGGCGGCGGCGGCGGGGCCCTCGCCCACGTCGGGGAGGGTCCCTCCGCTCAGGCCACCTCTCCTCTGGCTGTTGGACGCTGTCCCAGCTCCGGACGCTTCCTGGAGGCCCATTCGGGTCCCAGCCCCCTGTTCCTGACAGGGCACCCTCACATCAACTCCCACGGGCTCTGGGGCTCAGTGGGGCCTGCGTCTGCAGTGGGTGCCCTGCCCCAGTGCCCAAGAGCGGGAGGTGGGGGTGGGGTGTGAGCCTGGGGGCGCGGAGCAGGCGCGGGGGACGGGGTCCCCAGGCTGGCCCGCTGCTCCTGGTGCCCGGCTTCCCTGCCCTGTCAGCGGCTTCTGGCCTCCGGTGTCGCAGACGCACCGTGCCCAGCGCAGCCGGAGCGGGAACTCGGCGGGGCGTCCCGCAGTCCCGACCTCCCGCCGACACGGCCCTCGTCTCGCCCCGCAGATGAGCCTGGAGAGCGAGGACAAGCGAGCGCGCACGAGATCCAAGGCCCTGCGAGGTGCGTCCTCCCCGCCCCCACACCCGTCCATGGCGCGGCTCTGCCCACGCCCCAGGTGTCCGTGCCCCAAAGCTGTAGATGCCACTGCTCCCACCGGCGCTCCTCGGGAGAACAGAGACCCCCAGCAGCGCCCCCCCCCGGGCCTGTTCCGCCTCTGAGGGCCCTGGCGGCTTCCGGGGGCTGAGATGAGGAGGCAGACCCGGCTGCCCAGGGCAGGGGTGTCCGTGTGCGACAGGCCGCCAGCCCTCCGTCGCTAGCCTCTGCCTCCTGGGATGTCCGCCTGGAGCTGCTGGGGCCTGGGAGGTGGCCGGGCTGGACGGGCAGGGGTGAGGAGGCACGGGGGCCCTGCCAGGACCGAGCCGCCCCCTGGGCCAGGGTGCCCTCGGGGGGGCGGGTGCCGAACTCCTCAGTGTGCCGGCTGCCCAGTGTGGCCCCGTGGGGCCCACCTGCCGTCCTCCCGTGCGGCCTGGCCTGCCGGGTCGGGTTTCCTGCCAGAAACCAGCCTGTCTGTGCAGTTAGGGAAGGAGACACCGGCCTGGCTCGGAGGGCCCGGGTCAGGGCAGCCCCTGTGTCCCGCAGGGTCCTGGCGGGGAGCGGGCAGAGCGTTCGCCTAGGAGGCCGGCCCGGTCCGGAGAAGGTGGGGCTCGGCCTCCGCTCTGCCCTCCCTGGCACCTGTGCCGCTCTGACCCCACGTGTCTCCTCCCCTCTCTCACCAGCACCCCCGGAGCCCACAGGAGCTGACCTCAGGTAAGAGAGCTCCCCGCTAGCACCGAGCGTGGTCTTGTCTGTGGCTCCGTCTCCAGCAGCCCCACCCTGGGGCCCCCTTTCCCTAACGAGGCCCCACCCTCTTTGCCACCTGTCAGCGGTCGTCACCCGCCTCCACTCCGGCCACACTGCGCAGCCCGCCTCACAGCAGGGGCAGGTGCGCGCCTGGCCACCAGCAGCACCTGCTGGCACCGGCCCCCACCCGCCCCCGCCAGCCACAAAGGGCCATCTCTGAGGTCTGTCACAGCGGCCGCTGTGTCGGACGGCCTGAGGCCACGTGTGGCCAGAGGTGGAGCAGGCTGTCCCCGGCCCTCGGAGCCTTCCGTCCTGGGTGTTGGTGCCGGCACAGGCAGGGCTGTGAGCGCAGGGGACCCACTGCGGGGTGTGCCAGAGGGATGCTGTTGTGAGGCTGGAGAAACTCAGGCGGAGTCACACGTAGGACTCTGGGTGGGCGAGGGCCCCACTGCCCTTGAGCTCCACGGCACCTCCGCCCTGCTGTCCCCTCGCCAGCGCAGGCAGAGCCCCGGCCTGGGGACAGCGCGGGGACTGTGACGAGGAGAGCAGTGACACGCGGCCCTCGGCTCCTCCGCCTCCAGAGAGCTCGCGGGTCTGTGGGCGTCCCCTTCGCGCTGAGGAGAGGTGACAGACACTCTCCCGGCGTCGCCGTCCGGGCCCATCTGCTGCTGCAACGCACGGCCCGTCGTGCTCAGGCCCCTCGGGCGGGTCGCTGGGACCCTCTCAGCGCTGACCGCACCAGGCCGTCCACGAGCCCGCCCCCAGGGCTGCTGCGGGGGGCACCGTGTCCCTTCTCTCACCCTCGGGACCCTCGGTGGCCCCGCACACAGGCTCGCAGGCCGGGCCGGAGGCCAGGCCTCGTCTGGACGGGTGGGCGGAGGTGGCCTCGGAGCAGGTGACGTGCTGGGGGCCATGCCAGGGCCCCACAGGACTCCCCGGCAGCTGTCACCTAATTGCCTGATTAACTCAGTGATTAATCGACTAATTGGGACCTCAGCCTCAAATCCCCCACAACAAGGAGCTTTTGTGGAAAGTCTCAAAGCCGGTTCTTGAGAGAGAGAAGCAAGTGTTGGGCACAGACTGGAACAGACAGGCCAGGGGCGGCGGCCACCGCTCCGTCTGCAAAGGACATCCTGGGGTGGGGGGGAAGGGGCCTGTCTCCCTCCCCCCATCCCCCCTCCCTCCTTCCGGCTCCTCGTGGAAACAATGAGACCCGGCGCTGACATCAGCCCGAGGCTCCGGCGCGGCCGGCGGCGGCCGGCGGCCCCAATGGGCAGCGGCCCTCCCAAAGGCCCCCCGCTGAGCTCAGGGCTTGGCCTCCACGCACCGCCCCTCTCCTCCCCGGCCGGGCAGCCGGTGTGGCTTCCTGGCCCGCCGGGCCCACGGCTGCCTGCGCTGGGCCTCGGCCCGTCCGCCGGGCGTCTGGACGGAGGTTGGGGCGGTGCGCCCACCTGGGTCCCTGGGCCTGTCTGCGTCGGTGGTCAGGCTCCCCCCCTTTAGGTGGCCTCCCCTGGGCCCCCCATCCCACTGGGCGTCAGTTTGCTGCTCCGTAAAATGCCGTGATGACGCCTCCGTGTGGGCCTTGGTCTGGGGACGTGTCCAGCAACCCACAGACACCTACCCCTCCGCCCACCCAGGCCCCTTGCTGTCCCGGGGAGCCGACTCCTGGGGAAGGGGTCTGGGTGGCGTGGTCCACGTCCATGAGCAGAAGTCTCTGGAGCTTCCCCCAGTTTGGGCCTACGGGGAGGCAGCTTGGTGCAGGGTGAGGAGCCCCTGGGGTCTCGCCCCGTCCACGTTTGCTCACCAGCGTGAGGTGGCGGGGGTGGGGGTGCTGCAAGAGGCCCAGCCCCACCCCCAGGGAGGCCTCACGGCAGCCGCGGGTCGCTTGCTGTCCTGGCCAGGGCCCCAGAGACCGCGGCCTCAGCACTGCAGACGGGCGATGGCCTGGAGCGGCCGTCTGTGCTCTGCCCGGGGCCAGCCTCAGGCGGGGGCCCTGGGGCGCCTCAGAGGGCCTGTCTCCCGGGGGCTGTCTCCTGCCGTGGGAAAGCCCTGCCCGTGGAAAAAGGAAGCTTGCAGGGGGGCCCCGCTGGAAGGCTCTGCTCACGTGCCCAGGTCCTCACAGTGAACACGCTCATGAAACTGCCGTGAGCCGGTCGCTTATTTATGGGGGGAATCCTTTCGTTAATCTCAGCTGACTGCAGGCGGCCGTGCTGACAGCTGCAGTCCGGAGACACCCACGGAGGGTCTGGGTGGGGCCCTCCCCCAAGTGACCTCTGCTTGTCTCCCCAGCTGCCCCACCCCGGGGTGCACGGGCGCGGGCCACATCCGTGGCAAGTACTCCAGGCACCGGAGGTAAGGAGGCCTTGGGCCCTCGCCTTGGGTCCTGGGAGGGTGGGGGGGTTGCTGGGTGTTGGAGCCCATCTCTTGCTCTGGCCTTTTGTGGATCTAGAACCTTCCAGTTGCGCACATTGCTGCAGTGTGCCGCCCTGGACCGGTTGCCCGGGGCCCTCAGAGTGCAGGGTGTGGCGTGGCTGCTGGGAGGCAGCAGGAGTCCACGCAGGAGCAGCTCCGGGTCACACGGGGGTGACCCGCCTCACCCCCCTGGCTGCACTTGACCTAGGGGCCCCCGCTGCCCCGAGTTCTGAGGGTGGGTGAGGGTGTGAAGAGTCTGCAGGTGGACGGGGTGGGCCGGAGCCCCCGAGGACCTGCCAGGTGGGCATGGAGCAGAGCAGTTGGGCGCCAGGCCTCACACTCAGGGGCCTTCTGAGAGAAGCCAGAAACGCAACTGAAAACACAATCGGGACAGTTCGGGCCAGGTCTGCAAGCCAGTGTGCCTGGGGCTGCCAGCGGAGGGACGGCGAGGAGACGCCCCGCGGAGCGGGGGCGAGGGGTGGGAGCAGCCCGGGGGTGCTGACGGTGACCGGGCCCCTCCCTCCAGTCTGCAGAGCTGCCCTCTGGCCAAGAAGAGGAAGCTGGAGGGCGCCGAGGCGCAGCACCTGGTGTCCAAGCGGAAGTCACACCCGCTGAAGCTGGCTCTGGATGAGGGCTACGGCGTGGACAGCGATGGCAGTGAGGACCCCGAGGTGAAGGAGGCCTCTGTCTCCGATGAATCGGAAGGAACCCCGGAGGAGGACGAGGCCGGGATGCCGGGACAGGAGGAGATTCATCGCCCCGAGCCAGCTGAAGGTGCTTTGTTGCTCTTTCTGCCCCGAATAAAGGGCACTCAGTGTGTCCCCGGAGAGCCGCAGCCCAGGAGCGGGGAGGGCCCCCTGCCAAGGAGGCCCGTCCTGAGAACAAGCGATGTCCTGTCCCGAGCGTGGCGGGGCTTCCTGGGGAGGGGCTGGGGGCGTCCGTGCACACGAGAGACGGACACACGGACACGGCTGTGTGTCCGGCCCTTGGGAAGAGCTGCTGGGGTGGGGTGGGCATCCGCTGGGCATCGGGCGCGGCCAAGGCGGACCTCTGCTTGTGCGTCTCCCCTGCGGGGCACCCAGCCCCTGGGCGTGCTGGTGCGAAGGCCCGAGGTCCCAGTCCCCAGCACCCCGAGCTCCCGGTGTCTTCTGACCTTGCAGGGCCTGAGGTGGGTCCTTATTTTATGTTGGAGCTGACCCTGGCGGGCCCCACACGCGCCTCCCTCCAGGGCTCTGGCGTGGCCCCCCAGACCACTTGCTCACAAGGCAGGGAGTCTGGGGTCAGCCGCCACTGCCCCGCCCACTGCTCACCCCCAGAGCACGGCTGCAGGGCGCCCGGTGCTCCTGAGCCCCATGGGCCCCCACAGGCCCGGTGTGCTGTGAGCGCCGTGGGTCTTTGTTGTGGCCATTACCACCTTTACATTTAGGTCCTTTACAAAAGTATGAATTTGTTTGGTGCTTTTTGATTTTGAAACAAGTTTTATTTTTATTTTTTATTTTTTAAAAGATTTAATTTATTTATCTCTAGAGAGGGGAAGGGAGGGAGAAAGAGAGGGAGAGAAACATCCATGTGTGGTCGCCTCTTACACGCCCCCTGCTGGGGACCTGGCCCCACAACCCAGGCCTGTGCCCTGACGGGGAATTGAACCAGCGACTGTTTGGTTCACAGGCCAGTGCTCAATCCACTGAGCCACACCAGCCAGAGCTGAAACAATTTTTAAATAGTTGAGCTCCGTTTTGAGAAACGACCTGAGAAAGTACTACAATGGCTTTAAAAGTGCAGTAGCAGTGACCCATCTGCCCCCCAGATAAATTCCCCACGGTCTCAGGCAGACAGAGGTGGTGACGCACAGGGCCCCGCTGAGCCCTGTTTCTGGGGGTTCCGTGTTTTGGGCTGTGTCGGGGGGTGGGGACCAGAGGCCCCGACACCCACCCTCCCTGGCCCCCCCAACATGACTTTTCTGATCTTGTGCAGGGAGGAGCCCCACGAAGTCCCACTTTGGACCCCACCCTGTGGGCAGCCCCACGGGCCCCTCCAGAGGCAGCTATGGCAGCTACCAGGAAGTCATCGCAACTTCGCTCCTGAACTTGGGCCAAGTGGCCGGGGAGACCCTGGTCCGGGAGGGCTCGGGACAGGGAGCCCAGCTGGGCCCCGGCGCCGTGCGCCTGGTCCCGGAGGAAGCCGAGGAGGGGGCCTCCAGCGACGAAGGGGAAAGGGCCGTCTTCGTCCCGCCCGAGGACGCGGAGGAGGTCATCGAGGTCACCAGCGAGCGCTGCCAGGAGCTGAGTCCGCAGGCCCTGGAGGGCATGACCAGCGAGGAGCCCAGCCCACAGAAAGGCTCCCCGGGTCAGGAGGAGGAGGAGGAGGAGGAGGAGGAGGAGGAGGAGGAGGAAGGTGAGGACGAGGACGACGAGGAGGAGGAGGAGGAGGAGGACGAGGAGGCTGCCCCCCCGCAGGCCCCCGAGCCCCCCGGCCCCCGGCCAGACGCCGCGGTGGCGGCAGAGCCGAGCTCAGAGGACAGCAAGGACGAGGACGCCTGCTCCCAGAAGTCCGCCGTCACGGACGAGTCGGAGATGTACGACGTGATGACGCGCGGCAACCTGGGCCTGCTGGAGCAGGCCATCGCCCTGAAGGCGGAGCAGGTGCGCGCCGTGTGCGGGCCCCCGGAGCAGGGCCCGGGCGAGCCCCTGAAGGCGGCTAGGCCCCTGGACGCCGCGCGCAAGACTTACGGCAGCAAAGGTAGGGCTGGCGCAGCCTGCGCACCGCAGACCTCCTGAGGCCCCTTGGGCTGGGGGCGGGGCCCGGCGCCCACCGGGGGGCCAGGACGCACGGGACACAGAGCAAGGTCGTGGCCTCTGTGGCTCGGCTGCCGCCTGGGGACTCCCGGGATTGTGGTGGGACAGACAGGTCTGGGGACAGACCGGGCCGTGGTGGGACGTGAGTCAGCTGCAGCTCGGGGGACCTCCTGGCTCGTGGGGACACTGGGCCACCTTTTCTGGGAACACCCACTCGTGTGGCTCCGGCTCAGTGGCAGATGCTCAGGGACACAGCTGAGGGGACAGGGATGGGAACACTGTTTCAACCCAAGGACACTTGTGGAGGCAGACCCTTCCAGGGTGGCGTGGACTTCAGGGAAGCAGTCGGGCCGGCGCAGGGCCATGGGCACAAGGAGGCCTGCGCGCAGGGGCCAGAGACTCACGGGGGTGTAGGGTTTCAGTCTGGGGGTGGGGGGCTGCCCACGGAGCAGTGGGACACGGCGGGAAAGGGGCACGCCCGGGGGGACACAGGGACACAGAGTGACAGCCCAGGGCCCCGGGTGTCCAGGACTCGTTCCTGGGGGATGGACGTGAGGGGTCCCAGATGCCGTGTCCTGCTTTCAGGATGATGTTGAGGGCGTGGACCCAGGGGCAGAGGCAGGGGACCAAGCTATGGTCTGGAGGCAAAAGGCCATGGGACACAGGACGCCTGGGGCAGGAGCCGAGGCGCAGACCCAGGGCGTCTGCACCGAGGCCGGCGAGCCCATCCGCCCTTCAAGTGTGGCCCTGTGACTTCCGGGTGCTCCCAGAGGGGCAGCCCCCCCACCCCCCGCCCTGCCAGGTGTTTCTCCGGGCAAGGCCCCGCTCTGGAGATTGTTTGAGTCGTGACAGGCACCCTTCGGGCCCCACGCGCCCTAGGGACCTCTCCGGGCTCGTACAGGCTGGAGGCGGCCAGTAACTGAGGTGTGAGCTTCAAGCTCTGCCCCGGCACTTTTTAGTCATGTGACCCTGAGTAAGTTCCTTAACCTCTTTGCTCGTTTCGTCAAATCCAAAGGGCGTGTCCTGGCGGGGACCTCGTCACAGCACCTTCACCTCTCCGTGCAGAGGCCGGGCCTCGAGCCAGGCGCGGGGGCTCCAGGCGGTTTGCCCCTGGCTCTGAGGCCGGGGGGAGGGGCCGGTGCCAGCTGCCCTCCGGGCCCTTCACCCCTCTGTGCGCCCTGCCCACTGTCTGGGCAGTGCGGTCAGCCCTGGGCAGACCTCGGGAGTCGCCGTGCCCTCCAGCCCCGGCCCTTCTCAGGCTCGTGGGCGGCCTGGCCTCTCTCCCCGCCGGATAGCTAGAGAAAGGCTCAGCGGTGCCCCCCCAACACTGTTCGCCGCACGGCTCCCTGGCCACCCCCGACGGGCGTGCCGTGTCTGTGCAGATGCCTCCAGAGCGGAGAAGCGGGAGATCAAGTGCCCGACCCCAGGCTGCGACGGCACCGGGCACGTGACCGGCCTGTACCCTCACCACCGCAGCCTGTCCGGGTGCCCCCACAAGGACAGGATCCCTCCGGAGAGTGAGTAGCTCTGCAGAGCCCGGGCTGCTCTGGTGTTTGGCTGGTGGTCACTCGGGGCCCTGTTCCTTGGGCTGGCACCGTCCCGATGCCCAAACTCAAGCCCTATAGGGCTGGGGACACAGAGGGTGAAGCCACCCACCTGGAGATGTCAGCCAGGGCCAGGGCCCCCAGAAGGCGGCCCCGGGCACAGGCGCCCCGAGGGGAGACAGGCCACCAGCAGGGGCGGCCCCTGTGCTCCGGGGGCTCACGGGAAGCCCGTCCTGACTTCTGGGCTGGAGGCGGCAACCGTGGACTTGAGGTTGACAGGGGCCCGTCACAGAGCAGCCAGAGGCTGCGAGGCTGAGTTGGTTTCAGCTCCAGGAGGCAGAGGCCACGGCGGCGGGGGTGGTGTGGGGACTGGGCTGAGGACCGTCACCCCAGCCTGCTGCGTGCCTGTCCGCGGAAGCTGCAGGCTTCAGACCGGCTGCGCTCACCCCCGCCCCCGTCTTCTTTCAGTCCTGGCCATGCACGAGAACGTGCTCAAGTGCCCCACCCCCGGCTGCACGGGCCAGGGCCACGTGAACAGCAACCGCAACACACACAGAAGGTACCCTCGGGGCTCAGTGGGGGCAGGGGTGGGGCGCGCCGGGCCTGCCGCGGCCCTCAGGGTCGGCGCAAGGTCGGGGCAGGCCCTGCGTGTTGCTGGCTTAGAGCCTCCCCGAGCCGACCACCCGCGCAGCTGGCGGTCCGGGGGCATGAAACACGACAGGCAGGGCCTGGTGGAGAGGGCTCAGATGTCCCCATGTCCTTCCCTAGTTTGTCCGGGTGTCCCATTGCTGCTGCCGAAAAACTAGCCAAGTCTCACGAGAAGCAGCAGCCACAGGCGGGAGACCCCTCCAAGGCTGGCTCCAATTCGGACCGGATCCTCAGGTGGGTGCACGTGCCTCGGGCAGCCGGGGCCTCCCAGGCCGGGCTGGGGCGCACAGGACGGTCCCCAGTCCACTGCAGGGGCGGGTGGGGGGTTCCCGTTCTCCTTTCGGTCCCTTCTGTCTGAGCCGACGGGAACAGAAGCCCACCCCCCTGCCCCATGCCCGGCCCAGTCCTGGTCTCCTCCTGGGCGGCCTCCCCGGGCCTGGGGCTCGCACCACCTCTGTGCATTGAAACACCTGAGCTCTTCCAAGAGCCCCAGGGACGATGAATGGGACACCGGCAGTGGTCCTCTCCTGCTGGTCCCTGACCCCAGAGAGCTGAGTCTTGGTTCTCGGGAACACACCCCAGATCATGCCCCCCTCCCCGCCCCACCCCCGCCCCCGCCCGGGCAAGGCAGCTGAGCTGCCAGAGCCCTGCTCTCTTGAGCTCCGGGGCGAAGTCCAGGCCCTCCCTCCCTCCCTGGCTGCGCTGTCTGCAGGGGACGTGCCGTTCTTCCTCCAAGGCCCCGTCAGTGGTGGGGCGTGGGGGAGGGTCTCCCGGTGTCTGTCCTCACGGGGCTCGGAGGGGCCCCTGCGCCGACTGGGGGGGAGGTGACGGGCCCCTGGGTCCTGTCCTCACGGTTCTGCTTCTGCCCCTCGTCCCAGACCCATGTGCTTCGTGAAGCAGCTCGAGGTCCCTCCGTACGGAGGCTACCGGCCCAGCGTGGGCCCTGCCACGCCCAGGGCCAACCTGGCCAAGGAGCTGGAGAAGTTCTCCAAGGTCACCTTCGACTACGCAAGTTTTGATGCTCAGGTTTTTGGCAAACGCATGCTTGCCCCAAAGATTCAGACCAGCGAAACCTCACCTAAAGCCTTTAAATGTAAGTTGGGGGAGTTGCTCCTGGGGGTGTGAGGTGAGGACCCGTGGAGGGGGACCCCGGCCATCTGCCCTGGGCACTGAGGGGACAGAGCAGGCCCTCGCTGCCCCAGTACCCATCCCTCCTGCTCACCTTCAAACCCCACGTGTCCCCTCGCCATTAGCGAGACAAAGCCAGGTCCTCTGTGGTGTGTGTGTGCAGCAATAAAGAACAACTTGGCTGGCGTGGTGTGGCCTGGGAAAACTCCCTCCCCGGCTGCCTTCTCCCAGCCTGGTGACCGGACTCAGCGGCCCAGCAGCCAGGGTGTGTGTGTGCGGGCTGTGTGTGGCCGGCCGTGAGAGCCTGCTGCCCTGACAAGAGCCATTCTCCTTCCTGCGCCGGGACCACCTTGCTGGATACAGTGTGTTACTTGTGATACTAGCTACAAATTTTCTGGGTGCCTGTACCCACAAAAATGAACATTGAGGAGTGATCCTTCCAGTTTTTTTTTGTCATTTATTGTACTAATTTGTGGGCTGCCAGCCCGTTAGCCCTGGAAATGCACATGACATGGAGAAGCCCTGCCCCTCATGTACCTGTGACTGGAACGGGAACTGGCATCTCCTGGGGGAAACTGGAGTGTCCCACACGTTAATAACAGAAGTGCCGACTGACACAGTTTGATACAATTGCCAGTGGAACCTGCCTTCCCACACTGCCTCCCGCCGACTCCTGCCCTTTCCGAGCTCCTGGGAATTTGCTGGGGAAGTCGCAGGGCTCCCAGACCTGAGAGTGATTTTACGGCTGCTGCACGATTACCGGGACAGATAACGATTTAGACCTTATGTTTATTTGAGCAACACTGTTACTTTGTTAAAGTAGGGACACCAAAGTCAGCCTTTTGAGACGTTTGCTGCAATTTTCATGCTTGGATGATATTCCAAACATGCATCCTGTTTACAGAATTCTTTGTTCTTTCCAAAACTGATGTACAACCTATTTTTGTTTGAAATATCAGGGATGCTGGAATGTCTTTGGAGGGTTTTGGTCTTTCTGTGCAAATTTTGGTCAGGCCAGAAATAGCCTCCTCGGCCCCAAACAGGAGAGCAGAGGGGTGGGGTGGGCAGGTGTGAGCCCAAGCCCCCTCTCCCCGCAGCCGGGCCCCGTGCGCCCAGCCGCCCCCAAGCCCCCGTGTGTCTGCGCCCGCCCGCCGTGCCGCCGGGCCTCGGCCCGGTGTTGCCCCTCCTTGCAGCCGGGCCTCTCCCGAGGGCCCCTCCCCCCGGCACACCTCCCACTCCCTGCCCTCCTCCGCAGGCTTCGACTACACGCACGACGCCGAGGCCGCGCACATGGCTGCCACCGCCATCCTGAACCTCTCCACGCGCTGCTGGGAGATGCCCGAGAACCTCAGCACGAAGCCGCAGGACGCGCCCAGCAAGGTCGGTGTGTCCCTGCGGGCCCTGCTGGGCAGAGAGCGGCCGGGGATTTACCGGTCAGGGCCACGCCGAGTCTCTGTGGGGAGGGTCATCCTCCCCTGCTCCCCCCAGCCCGGGCCCCCGCTAACCGCAGAGCTCGCTCGGGCGGGTGCCTTCCGAGGGCTGCGCGCTGGGCCCAAGGGGGCCCCAGGGCTGTGCACACGAGCGCCCCCCCGTGTCTGCGGGCGGTGCCCTGCTCTCGCCCGACCGAGCTCCTGCTCTCCAGGGTCCGGCCTGCGGTGCAGGGCGCGGGAAGGAGGGGGCGGCGTCTCCTCCACGCGGGTCCCGGGACTTGCCTCTCGGATCTGTCCCGCTGGGCTCTGGGTCCTTGTGACGGACGCGTCCGGGGTCCCTGCCAGGCTGAGATGAGCACCGCGGCGCGCCGGCAGGGGCGGGCCCGGACGCAGCTGGCGCCTTTGCGTTGCAGGCCGCGGACATCGAGGTGGACGAGAACGGGACCCTGGACCTGAGCATGCACAAGCACCGCAGGCGGGAGAGCGCGTTCCCCAGCGGCGGCGGCGGCGGCGGCGGCAGCCCCGGGGTGCGGTCTCCTGACACCTCCCAGCGCCAGAGCGGCGCCGGTGCCCCCGGCAGCTCCATGACCTCACCCCAGTCCAGCCAGGGGTCCCGCCAGGAGGAGTGGGACCGGCCCCTGGACTACACCAAGCCCAGCCGCCAGCGAGAGGAGGAGCCTGAGGAGGTAGGTCCCGCGGCCCGAGGGCTGTTTCTTGGGGCAGAGGCTCCCGGGCTCCTGTCCCCGTGTGCCCAGGGCCCCCACCGTCCACACGGCCAGGCTGAAGCCCGCCCCCGGGAGAGTTCTCCTCGCTGGGCGATGCCGAGTCCTGGACCGGTCCGAGAGGGGTGGTCTCTGCACCCTGAGGACATGCGAGCGGGGCCTCTGCGGGCCTGGGGAAGAGACAGCTTCTTTCAGACCCCCAGGGGATGCCTTGGGCACGACTCTGAATCCCCTGGTGTTGCGGGCCTCCCACCAAACAGGGACACCCTGAACTCTGGCAGCAGCCCTTTCTATGGTCCCCAGGATGCTCAGGCCACCTGGCTCCCTAGTTAGAGGCGGGAGTGGACTCCTGGCTGCGGGAGGAGCCCCCAGTGGGCAGTGGTCTGAGTCCCAGGACAAGCGCCGCCCGGTAAAGGGCACAGAAATGGCGTCTCTGCAGCGGCTGTGGTCTGGGGGTGGCGGACAGTCCCTGTCCAGTTCCTCCAGACAACTGAGATGAGAGCTGGTGGAGGGCGGTTCCAAAGGGGCTCCCCTTCTTCCCGAGCACCCTGTCTCCTCCCAGGGCCGCCACTGTCCTCTGTGGGGTGACCCAGGTCTCAGGGGCCCTGAGGTTCCCACCCACTGCAGCCTGCCCTCTCCCTGCAGACACCACCCACCCTCCAGGAAGAAGCCTGCTTGGGGGCCCCACAGCCCAGGCTTCGGGTCACTCCTAGCAACCCCTCCCAGGCCAGACCTCCTGGGTCCCTGTGCTTGGGCTCCAGACCATGACTCAGACCCCCTTCCAGCACTGCCCGTCCTGGGGCAGATGGTGGCCCCCTTGCAGTCCCCTCGACCTAGCCTCAGGCCACAGATCCTGCTCACCACCCTAGGTCCCTGAGCCCCGGGGACGCTCTCCTGGCCTGGGAGCCCTGTCCATCCGGAAGGGCAGCTTCGTGCAACTTGCTCAGGCCGATGAGTCCATGGTGACGAGGCCTCAAGCTGCCTTTTTTCTGGGCCACGTCTCCAGGTGCCCCCTCCCCAGCCCCCTCCAGTCCCGAGAACGGCTGCCCCCAGCTGCAGGTTCCAGGTGCCTGGGGGCAGAATGCAGGAGTGCAGTGCAGGCGTCTGGGCCCCACGAGCCGCTGCAGACACCTGCCCGGGGTGGTCTGCTGGGGGCGTCGGGAAGCCCCTGTTGCTGGGGCAGCTCTGGCTGAGGTGGGGGGTGCTTCGGCCCCTCGAGGTGCTGCCTTCTGTGTCTGGGGGGCGGGCAATCTTCCTCCCCAATTCGAAGACAGGAGTCGCCAGACGCAGCCTGCGTGGACACTGCTCTGAAGGGTCCCTCTCCCTCGCCCCGGGCCGGGCGCCCGGCCCCGCCGGCGGTTAAAACCTCTCCCTGCTGGTCTTTTGCAGTCAGAGCCAGCAGCCCATTCTTTTGCTTCTTCTGAAGCAGATGACCAGGAAGTGTCGGAAGAGAATTTTGAGGAGCGGAAGTACCCCGGGGAAGTCACCCTGACCAACTTTAAGCTGAAGTTTCTCTCCAAGGACATAAAGAAGGAGCTGCTCACGTAAGTGCCCACCCCGGCCGACAGGGCTCCTCGGAGACCCCGCACAGCCCGGGAGGGAGCGCAGCTGGGCCAGGCCCGGGATGCCGGCCGGCCGGGGCCTTCCGCTGCCCTCGGTGGGCAGAGGGTGGGTGTCCTTCACTGGAACCGGCTCCACCGGGCGATAGGGGACAGGTTTCCCGTCCCCTCTGCGCTGTGCGGGGCTCTCGGCTGTACCCCAACGTGATTGAGGACGAGGAAGAGCCCTGTTCCGGCCGACTGTGCAGCAGGGAGGGGCCGGCCCCTCTGGGCTGCGGTGGTCTGCCCCGCGGCAGGGTGCCAGGCCTGGCCTGCGTGCGGTCTCAGGGCTCTGTGGCTGGTTCTGGCCACCCGGCTAGCCCTTCGAGCCTGTCCCCAGAGGGCTGCCCAGATGTCAGGCAAGCAGGGGAGCCATCTGTAGTCAGGGGCCATCCCGCGGCCTTCTGGTTGACCCCACTGGGCCCCCCCCCACCCTTTCTCGGGCCCGTGCGAGGCCGTGCGTGGCACCTGCCGCAGAGGGGCCCAGCTCCATGGGTGCTGGGTGCCCTCGTCTCGTCCTGAGTCTCCTGCTCTGGAGCTGGCCCCCCAGGACGGCCAGGTCCTGGCCCTGGGCCTGGTCCTCTGGGAAGGCCATGTGCTTCAGGAAGGGACTCCCTGCGTGTGCGTGGGCACCGGCACGTGTGTGTGTGAAACACGTGTGCTCTAGTGGCCTTCTCCCTTCACACTGAGCTTTGACTTGGTTCCTTTTTCCTTCCTGAGTTGAGTCGTGTGGGAGACTTGCTGCCCGCGGCTGCGGCTGAACTCCGAGGGGCCAGGTCGGGGAGTTGCCCTCGGCCTGTGGGTGGCAGGTGCCACCTCTGTCCCCACGCAGGCTCGGCCAGGCAGGCCTGGCAGGTAGGCCTCGCTCTCTCTCCTGACGCTCTTTTTCCTTTGTCCAGCTGCCCCACCCCCGGCTGTGACGGCAGTGGCCACATCACTGGGAACTATGCCTCCCACCGCAGGTTCGTCCCCCTCGGGCCGGCCTGGCCGGGGTGCTGCGCGGTGGGTCTTCCTGCTCTCCTGCTCTGCTCCCCTCTCTGGCTTACCCCCCTCTCTTCTCTTTCAGCCTCTCTGGTTGCCCTCTTGCTGACAAGAGCCTCAGAAACCTCATGGCTGCCCATTCTGCTGACCTCAAGTATGTCTGCCCTCCCGGCCGCCCGTCTCTTGGGCGGCCCCTGGCTTTGCTGTCCCTTCTGCCAGGCCCCAGCCCGAATCAGCCCTCCACAGGGCTCCAGCCGCCGCCACCGTCCCCGCCCATGGGGCGGGGCAGAGAGGCCAGGCTGTGGAGGGCTGATTCTGCTTGGCTGGGGCCGCCACTGCTGTGTCTCCCTGCTCTGAGTGCGGCTGTCTGTCTGTCTGTCCGCAACCATCCATGGGCCGCTGTAGGCTCCTGGGCTGCCCTTGGCCCTGCCAGCCTCTCGGGGGGCTGAGGGCTGCAGGAACCGCCTCCGGCCCCTGGCGGCCCGCCCCATTTGCTCCCAGTTCTGAGGACCCCGCTCTCTCCCCACACCTGGGGTTGGGAGAGCCCCAAACTGGCCGTGCCTGGCGCCTGTCCCAGCTTGTGCTCCGTGAGGGGGTGCTGCTGATGAGAGGGGGCGCTTCGGCCCCTCCCTTCTCGGCAACCCCTCCGGCACCTGTGCCTTGGCCCCCGGTCCCCCAGGTGTGCCTCGCCGCCTCCTCCCGGTTCACCCCTTCTCTCTGTCTTGCCCTCCTCATGCTGCTTCTGCCCCTCCGTGCCCCCGGCAGCAGGCTGGCAGGACGGGGCCGACCGGGGCACAGCACCTGCTGGACGGCCCTGCTGGATGAGATGCTCCCGCCCGAGGCTCCCCAGGCAGCGGTGTCCTCTTGGGGAGGAGCCCAGATGGTCCCTGCCTTTGGTTTCCAAGCCTTCAGCTGAGCTGGGCCCCACTGGGCCCAGGCTCCCAGGCTCAGCCAGGCTGGGGAAGGAGGCCCACTCGGGCCCTCAGGCCCCCATCTCCTGGGCTGCTCCTCGCCCCGCAGGGCTCTGCGTTGGGAGGCCCTGAGTCCAGACGAGTTCCTTGGAGCCTCTGAGGGGACCCGAGCTGACTCAGAGGCAGGGCAGGAAGCTCTGGGGTCACGCCTGCCCCGGCAGCTGGGGGAAGCGGCTCTGTGCCCATCCTGGCCAGGGGGTCCCTGCTCCTGTGCCTGGGCCGGGCGGGTGCAGCCCCAGGCGGTCTTTCTGGGGGTCGCCGCCGTGAAGCAGGTTCCAGGAGGCTCCGCCCTTCTGCACTGGTCCCGTGTCCAGCCCAGAAAGCCAGCTCAAACACTGGGCCCCGATGGGGCCCTCTGCCTCAACCTCCCCCTCTTCCCTGCTCCCTTTTGCCGCCATTCCCACGCTCCTTTCTCCTGTTCGCTTTCCAATTCTGCTGTCATGTCTGCCTGTGGTTAGCGTCCGTGGATTCCCAGGCTGCGGGCCTGAGTGACTTCAGAGCTGAGTGGGCGACCACGTGAGCCCTGCGCTGAGGGGCAGGAGATGGCCAGAAATGTGGCTGTCTGGAGGGTCAGCCTCCTCCCGAGACTGGAAGTCTGTGAAGGGATTTAACCGCAGGGATGGGTGCTGGTGGCCTGTCCACAGGGGCAGACACCCGTGTCGCCACCTTGCAAGCGAGGCTCTTTGGTGGCCTCTGGTTGCCACTGGGGTGCAGTGGCCATCTCTGTGATGGGGTCTCTGGGTTTTAATGAGACCCCGAGGGCACTTGCTGCCCAGTGTGGTCAGGGGCTGGCACACGTCTCCGGGAAAAGCTGCTGAGCCAGGTGTCAGCGAGGGGGCGGGGCAGTCCCACCTGCCTGGGCAGGTGTGCGTCCATGGGGCCCCTGGGGGTGATGCCCTGCCTGTGCCGGGGTCTGGCAGGGACCACCCATGTGTGTGTTCTCCAGGAGTCACCTCCTCTGCCCCAGACTTGGGCCCCATTGGGACCCGCACGTCCCTGGGCCGTTATCCGCTGCCCAGGGCCACACTTCGGCCTCGGGGCCCAGGGCAGCAGCCGCCCATGCTGGGCCTCCGAGCTCTGTCCCTCGGTCACTGAGGCTGAGAGGGAGCAGCGCCCCAGTGGCCACCTGAGCAGCTGAACCCCCAAGGAGAAGGGCTCTCCTCACTCAGCTCTGCACCCGGCAGGCCACCCTCACTCGAGGGGGTGCAGCAGCGGAGCATCACAGGGCTGTGGCCTCAGCAGAGAGCCACGGGAGGGACACCCCGATATGCCCCAGGGACCCAGTGCCCTCGTGGCTGGCGCCTGGCACCCCAGACAGTGGAGACACGCGGCGTGAGAGCAGGAGTGAGAGCAGCCGCCGTGGTGCAGCTGGGGGTGGCGTCCACTGAAAAGCAGAAACCTCCTGCCCCAGACGCGTGCGGGGTGAAACGTGACCACGTGCGATGGGGTCAGGAGCCATTGCAGCCCCAGCGGGGTTTGAGTTACCCCAAAACCCAGCCAGAAGGTGGCTGGGCTGGCTGGTAGCTGCCCCAGCAGGGAGGCACTGGACGTGGGGCCCCCGGGGCAGCAAAGAGGAGGGGCCCTGGGCCTGCAGGCTGGCCGAGGCCTGGCGGGAGCACAGCTGTCCCCCTCGGGGACGGGCAGGGACGCGCAGCGCAGAAAGCCTGTGCTCACCCACGACAGTGGGGTTCCCACCTTCCACGGGACACGCTTGTCACACGTTTCGTGGGCAACGTGGGCTTTGTGTGTGGTGTTTCCCCTCCACGCTCTGCTGGCACCTGCCGCCCCTCACTGAGCGAGAACACGGCCCGAGGTGCCCAGGCCGTGGAAGGCGTGTCTCGGGTGCCCAGTGACCACGCTCGTGCACGCGCACGGTGCCACGCGGCGCCCTGAAGACACAGTCTCGGGCGTCAGGTCTGCCTCGCTGACCTCTGGCGCGCAGTGAAGGACCCCTCTGTGTTTCGGGACCTTCTGTTGTAGCCCAGGTCCCTGCAGGAGGCCGGCCAGGGGCCCTGTGCTCTGCTCTCGGCCTCCCTGGGCCTCCGGGGGCAGAGGTCGAGGCAGAAGGCCGACAGTGGGACCTCGCTGGGTGGGCGGGTCCTCACGGGGGCTGAGCACATGGGGTGCCGTTCTGCGGCTGCGCACCTCCACTGGCCCTGGTCCCAGCTCCCTGTCCTCTGCAGGTGCCCCACGCCCGGCTGCGACGGCTCTGGCCACATCACAGGAAACTACGCTTCACACCGGAGGTGAGTCCGCCGCGCCCGGGGCGCTGGGAGGGATGGGCCTCTTCCTCGGGCAAAGGTGCGGACTGCCATGCAGGACGTCAGTGTCCTCGGCGACCAGGCGGGGCTCAGGGGACCGAGCGTCCGCTGACCCGAGGCCTGAGAGGGGGGCAAGGCGGGTCGGGAGCGGGGAGAGGCTGCTGTCCCGGGACCACGGTTACGTCTCTCGTCTCCAAACCCCAGCTTGTCGGGCTGCCCTCGTGCCAAGAAGAGCGGAGCCAAGGTGACGCCCACGAAGGACGACAAGGAGGACCCCGAGCTGATGAAGTGAGCCGGGCCGCGCGTCGCAGAGCCGGGCTTCCCTGCGTCCCGCCCCGAAGCGCCCCTCTCGGCTCCCTGCACGCGAACACGGCCCCCGAGGACAGGCGGCCTCGCCCGCCCCACACGCGCGTGGGCGGCGAGGAAGGCACGAGCCGTGCGCAGAGCGTGTCGAGGGCGCAGAGCGTGTCGAGGGCGCACGGCCCCAGCCCCGTCTGGGCTTCTCAGATCTGGGCCCTGCCCCCCTGCACCAGGAGGCCACCTGGGGATGGGGCTCAGGGCGTGGGGCCGCCCCCAGGCGCTCGGGGCGCCGCTCAGGTCGAGCAGGAGGCTGTGGTCAGAAAGGCAACAGACCCTTCGGGCCTGCGTGTGGGCACTCGCACACCTGCTCACTTGCACACCTGGTGTGAGACCCCTGGAGGTGCGCCCTGGCCTGGGGCCTTGACGCAGCAGGGGGCGGGGGTGCGCCCTGCGCCTCCCGTGATCAAAGTCCCCCGAACCCTCTGCCGACCTCACGGGGGGTCCTCACGTGCCCCTGGGGCTGGTGCGTGTGCTCGTGCCCTGTTCGGTGGGTGGGGCTGCCCCTTTGAAACCTCAGGAGCAGGTGGGGGCCAGGCCGCAGGTGCAGACGGTGTCAGCCACCGTGCAGTTTGCCCAGGGCGTTAATAGCTGATGTGGCAAAACAGGGGCGGTCCTCCCGGCAACCGGGGTGGGAGGGAGTGACTGTGGCTCCCTCCAGGCCTAGCGCCCCAGGCTGGCTTGGTCGGGGTGAAGCCTGTCTCGGTGTCAGGGGTCGGGGGCACCGAGCGAGCGGGAAGCAGGCCCACCCTGGCCGGCAGGAGAACAGCCGAAGACCCCTGCAGAGGGGAGCAGCCCGGCCACAAGGAAGGGCCCGAGCGTCACTCCCTTCACAGGGGCGCTGTCAGCTGCTTGGTGTGAGGGGCCGTGCCTTTTTCTCTGCTTAAATTTTACAGTGACGAGTAGTGAATGCTAAATCGAAAATGCAAAACATGTGGCTGGCATCGTGAATGCTGCCTCCTGACTGTGAGGGTGGCGAAGTGCTCTTCCGCCGAGAGTCCGGGCTCTGCCGCGGCCGCGTGGACGGACGCCTGGCCGGCCGTAGTCAGTGTGTTGCGCTGTCCGTGCGAACGGTGCAAATCGTCGTCAGCGGCTTTCAAGTTAACTGGCGACAATGGTGCCCCTCCCTCTAACGTGCTGCCAACCTGGCGGGGTTTGTTTTTTAAACAAGCTTTCTGCCCCTGAGTGGAGAATGAGACTTTGAAAGGCAGTCTGGCCTCTGCAGGACGGCTGTGTTCCTGGCGGCCCCGCGGTGGGGAGGGGCCGCCCCAAGGCACCTCCCACTGCAGCAGGTTCGCAGCCGAGCGTCAGCTGTAGGCAGGTGCAGAGACCGCTGCAGTGCGCCGGGCCCCGCCGGGCGGGCATCGGGCTCTGTTAGCACGTGTGCGCCCCGCCCCTGGGTGGGCTGGCGGAGAAGGGGTGGCCTTTCGTGACGCCCTGGGTCTGTGCCATGTGAGACTAAGGCACGTCGGCACTTCAGCCACAGCGGCCTGTGGAGGTTCTGGGCTGGGGGTCGGGAGCTGTGTGCCCTGCCGTCCGAGGCTACGGTGGCGTCGGACCAAAGAGACGCTGCCCCGTCCTTGCCCCAGCTCAGGCTGGCCCAGAGGCCACGGACGCCCCTGAGCTGGTGCCCACGTGGGTTGTTGTGAGGTCGCCCCCCACCCCCCACTGAAGATCTGGACGGTGGGCGGGCGGGCGGAAGACTCTCCCTGCAAATGCAGTTCCGGGAACACGGCCGCCCCTCCAGACGACCGTGTCTGGGGGGTGGTTTGTAAAGGAGGCGGAAGGGGCCCTCGGGTCCACCGGGTGCTGCAGCTGCAGAGTGGCCTCTCGCTTAGCCTTCTGGTCTCGTGAGGCTCAGCCTCGTGGGTGCCTCAGAGCACCCGGCCCAGGAGTCCCCTGGGACCCACCAGCGGGGAGGGGCCCGGTTTGGGGAGCAGGTGTGAAGGGGAACCCCCTCGAGCCCCCTGCGGGGCCCCAGCAGTGTCTCCACTACGCTCTGCAGGCTGAGATGACCTTGGGCTGGCTGGGCGGACACCCCGAAGGCCTGAGGCCCTTGGACCGCTAAGGAGGGAGCGGGAGCCGGCAGAGGGGCCACTCGGGCTGGGGGAGCGTGGGCGGAGCCGCCTCTGACGGTGGCCCTGGGCGCCCCCTACCCTGTGGCTTCTGGCCTCTCGCTTCCCTGGACCCCGGGGACCTCTCTGCAAGCTGGGGCAGTGTGTCCCCTCCTGGGTCCTGTGTGTCTGTCTGGCAGGCCTGTAGCACAGAGGCCGCGGGTGACAGACATCGGGTCGGACGAGTCTCCTCGGGCAGAGGGCGGAGACTGAGGACCTGCAGACACAGGGGAGATCTGTTCTGAGCCACACGTTGGCTCCAAGGTCCCACCCCGTCGGTGCTCGGAAGGCACAGAGGGAGCTCCCAGTCTGGGCTGCCACCGACGGCCATGAGGGGGGACCCCAGAGCTCTCTGCATCCCCCTGTTTCCTGTACCCGCAGGGACCCCGACAGCAGCATGTGGGGGGGCACTCTGAGCCTCTCTCACTTTAACTCACCTGGAGTGTCTGCGGTTTCCAGAGGGACCCCATCCCCCGACAATCTGACCTGGCCTCGGGCTGAGTCACTGTGTCCGGGGGTGTCTGAGTCACATCCTTCCCACCTGAGCTCTGGGGCCTCGCACAGCCGTCCTTCCAGAACACACACTTCAGATGTGGCCAAGCGGGGACACCCGTGGGCGTCACGCTGTGACCTGGGATGCAGTGGAGTGGCAAGCCCCTGCTGTCCCCGAGCTGCCTGGCTCAGGGACACTGGGACCTCCTGGGACTCCTGGGCCACCCGGCCCCGTGCTTGGTGCCGACTCCCAGTGAGAGGTCTCTGGGCGCTTCCTCCAGCACCCCTGGCTCACCTGTGGCCTCTCTGTGTCCAGGTGCCCTGTGCCGGGCTGCGTGGGGCTCGGCCACATCAGCGGCAAGTACGCCTCTCACAGGAGCGCGTCGGGCTGCCCGCTGGCCGCCCGCCGGCAGAAGGAGGGCTCGCTCAACGGCTCCTCCTTCTCCTGGAAGTCGCTGAAGAACGAGGGGCCCACCTGCCCCACTCCAGGCTGTGACGGCTCCGGCCATGCCAACGGGAGCTTCCTCACACACCGCAGGTAGCTGTCCCCCCACCCCGCCCCCTGCCCGGCCTGTCTGGGCACCGTAGGAGCCTGCCGTGGCTCGGCACAAGGCTCCCGGGGGCCCTGCAGGGCGCAGGGGTGACCTGCACTTTCTCGAGGGAAGACCAAGGCAACTGGGGAGGCATGAGGATGTCTGTTGGTACCAGGTGGTGGCACCTGTGACCTGTGCCGCCTGTGTGTCTGTTGTCACGAGCATCCTGTCCATACGTGACTGGCTGCAGGCCACCAGCTTTTCAGGGAAAGCTCTGTCTGCCGCACCCCATGCCCTGCCCCTCCTGCTGGGGCCAGGCCTCTGCCTGTTTTGCAAGGGCCCTGGTGGCAGGACCCCTCCCTGACAGGGCAGCGGGCCCGGCGCTCACCTGTCCCCCCCACACCTGCCCCAGGGCTAGGCCAACCAGCCAGCCCACCTCCTCTCTGTGCCAGGTGATGGCCAAAGTGCACGGGGTCACCCCCGGCCCTACCAGGAACCTTGTTCTTCCTCGCTTTTGCCCTCGCCTTTCCACCTATAAAGTTAATCCACTCATCCATTCCACAAGCCTTTCCTGGCTCTGGAGGTCGAGCAGGGATAGGAAGGACAGCAGGGCCTCCTGGAGCTGACGTGGGCAAGCGGGCGAGGGGACAGGTTGCAAACAGGCAGCTGGGAGAAACGCCTGGTGTGGGGCCTGCCTCTCTGAGGGTGAGCAGCCCCCCCGGACTCGGGGACAAGGCCTTGGGGCAGGGGCTGGGGTCCTGGACGAGGGGTGAGGGAGCTGGAGGACTCTCCCGGGGTGGGAGGCAAACAGACATGAGCTAGAAAGTTCCATCCAGGACCTTTCAGGCTGCCAGTGGTGAGGACTTGGCTGTCGTTGACACATGTGACCTTGGACTGCTTTCTGACACGTGACCTTTGCTTCCAGCCTGTCCGGCTGTCCCAGAGCGACCTTTGCTGGGAAGAAGGGAAAACTCTCAGGGGACGAGGTTCTCGGCACAAAGTTCAAGACGAGCGATGGTAAGGGCGCCCCCCCACAGTGTCTGTGGGGGGCCCTCGCTCCCTGGGTGCGTGGGCCTTACCCGTGCAGGGGGTCGGGGAGGCAGAGGGATTGTGCTGGAGAGGGACCCCTTGACCTGGGCCGGTGGGTCTCCCGATGGCTGGGCTCCCAGCCCTCCTGCTCTGACCTGGGCCCCGGGGTGGGGGCCGTCGGAGAGGCTGCTGGCAGCCCGGAGGCCAGGTCCTCGCTGCGCGGGGCTGAGAGCTCAGGCTCCTGAGATTCAGCGTCTTCTGAAAACACTTGCCTTTCGATGTTGGCCGTTAGAACCTGCCAGAGGGGTTTGTCCTTTCCCACCTGTGGCCCAGGGCCAGGAGGCAAAACCCAGACATGCGGCCAGTGGTCTCCAAGACCGGCTTCCCAGCGGGAGGCGTGGGAGCTGAGCCGCCCACCCAGGGGAGTTCAGAGAGCTGGGGGGGGGGGCCTCTGCTTGGGAAGGGGCCCCTGTTCCACCTGGAGGGAGGGCCTCTGCCGCCCCCCTGCCCTCCCGCTGGCCCGGGTGTGAGGCCATGGCGGGGGTCTCTCTGTGGCAGTGCTGGACAACGACGAGGAGATCAAGCAGCTGAACCAGGAGATCCGAGACCTGAACGAGTCCAACTCGGAGATGGAGGCCGCCATGGTGCAGCTGCAGTCCCAGGTGGGTGGCCCCGCCCCGGCCCGCCGGCCCCCAGCCAGCCAAGTCCTTCTGCCTTGGGCCCCCTCTTCTCGAGGGGGGCAGAGCTGAGCCCCAGTCCTCCAGGCCGCCGAGGGCGCCGTGGGGCTGCACTGATGCGCACGGTGCTCAGGGATGCGTCTGGCACGCTCGTCAGTCCTCTGAGGCTGGTGGCCGGGGTCCCGGCACGGCGAGTGCCCGGAGAAGCAGCACCTGCCAGGCTGTGGGGCCGTGTGCTCTGCAGGGGGCTCAGGCAGAGGGAAGGCAGACACTCGCGCAGCCCGCACTCGCACCTTCAAAGCCAGAGGCCTGCCCCCTGGTGGTGCAGCCTGCTGCTGCCCAGCCACCGGTCACAGAGTCACCGGGCTGGAGGAGAGCGCTCTTCCTGGTCTACGGCCTTCGGAGAGGAAGCTGGCCGTCCCTCACCGGGGACCGCTCTGTGTGTCGCCGGCACTGCGAACCTGCCTCTGCCGCCCCGGCTCCTTCTCGGTGCAGCCCGGCTGGGGGCTGCCCTCTGAGCACGTCTGCTCCAGAGCCCCAGGGAGCCCGCCTCCCCACCACGGGCCACGCGCCTCCGCACGGGCCTCCCTGAGGCTCACCTGGTGGCCCGAGTCCCCCAGAGCAGGCGGCCCCACCACCCCTGTCCTCTGGGGCTCCACGATGGAACCTGAGAGCCCCCTGAGAACAGCTTCTGGGCTTCTGACTGGGTGTCCCTTCTGGGTCCCCCGGGGTCCGGAGAAGAGGCGCCCCTGCTGGAAGCCCCAGGGTGCTGTTGGGACGCTTGGAGGAGTCATCGGCCACGCCCCTCAGTGACGCGCTGTGGGGACGGGCTCCGCGCGCCTCCCACAGCTCTGCCAGACACGCTGCGGGACTCCGTGGTGGGGGACTCGAAAGGCAGCCAGACACTCTAGTGGGTGCAGATCCCCCTGACAGCTGAGGAACAGGAAGGCAGCTCCCTAGATGGGAGCTCAGGTGCCTTGGACTGTGGGCCCCTCCCGGCCCTGCAGGAGGGAGCATCCCCTGCTCTGTCACCGTGTCCCCTCCTCCACCACGGCCCAGGGCCCCCCGGGGCCCCCCAGAGGGACATGGGGCGTGTCCCGGGAGGACGTGGGGGACACGGGGCCTCCCCGCCTCTGTCGGTGCAGATCTGCTCCATGGAGAAGAGCCTGAAGACCATCGAGCAGGAGAACAAGCTGATCGAGGAGCAGAACGAGGCCCTGTTCCTGGAGCTGTCGGGCCTGAGCCAGGCCCTCATCCGGAGCCTCGCCAACATCCGCCTCCCGCACATGGTGAGCAGCGGGGCGGGCGGGGCGGGGCGGACGCCCCTCTGCGCCTGGGGTGCTGTGCCCAGCAGGCTGCTGCCCCTCGGCTGCGGCCCCCTCGGCCTCCCATGAACCCCCGCCAGACCCTCGTGCTTGACGGCCGGAAGGTGGAGGGGTCGGCGCTGGCTGGGGCCCGGGCTTGGGGTTCCCCGTTGACTCCACAGCCTCCGCAGCGGTGGGCCCGCTGCCGGACGGGGCTCGCTGACGGTCTCTGTCCCCCAGGAGCCGATATGCGAGCAGAACTTCGACGCCTACGTGACCACCCTCACCGACATGTACTCCAACGAGGAGTGCTACCAGAACCCCGAGAACAAGGACCTCCTGGAAAGCATCAAGCAGGCCGTGCGGGGCATCCAGGTCTAGGCGGCCCGTGGACCGGCCGGCCCCCGCGGCTCCACCGTTTACCTCCCGAGCCCCGCCCTCCGCGCCAGTTCCCTCCTCCCAGTGGCTCCTCGGTGGCGGCCCGGGCGGCCTGGGGGGTCGTCCAAAGGGGCGCCTGGAGATCCGTCCCTCGTCCCTCGATGCGCTGGCCGGGCCTCCGCCTCCCCTTCCCCGAGTGAGGGCAGAACGTGAAGTGTTACAAATTGGTTTATTTTTGTTTTCGGAACATAATCCGAAGAGCAGCTCGAAGTCTCCAGTGGTTCTCAGGGAAGTTTCGGAGTGCGCGGCCACCGAGCCCCTGAGTCTGGGGGCCGGGAGGGTGGCCGTGGTATCGGCCCGCGGCGGCGCCTCTGCTCGCGGGGCCAGTGTGGCGAGTGTGTGTTCTGGTTTCCGTCCCTTTGCTTTTGTGTTAAGAATGAACCGAAGCACCGCTCCAGGGGGTCAGACGAGGGCGGGCTGGCTCCAGGGAGCCGACTGGGCCGCCCTGGGGAATCGCCCCGGCTCCCAGCAAAGCACCTCCCCTCTGGGGGCAGCGGGCCCCCTGGCGCTGCTCAGACCTGAGCAGGGGGCTGCGGCCTCTGCCCCCCTGTCTGGCTCAGGCGGGCCAGGCCTGTGACTCCCTGTGCATCCCCCGGGCGGGGACCGTCACTGCCACGTCACCTGGGTCCCGGCTGAGCTGCAGGAGGTCAGGGCACCAACTCCTCATTGGAGACCACCCAGGTTTCGCTTTTTTTAGATCTAGTCAAGACGCGAAAACAGGTAAATTTTAATTTAATGTGTTGAAAACACAGTGTCCCTGCGTGTAAATAGAGTCCTGACAGCAATTCCAAGTTAGCATTTAAGAGTAGAGAAGCGGCTCTTTCTGGGAGAAATGAAAAGTAGTTAGTTTAATTATTCTGTAAATTATTTAATTTTGTCAAGATGGAAGTATTTATATTCACAGCCTCTTTTATGTTCATGTTTGCTATTTATTTGACGTTTTATTTATTAATTTTATACTACTTTACCTAGACCCTGACACCAGGACACCAGGAGAGAGCAGTAAGCAAAATCAGAGTGAAATCAGCTGTCCAGCAGTGAGACAGGCCACACAAAAGAATCTTGCTATAACTTCTAGTTATAATTTTGATGCAACCAAGTTATTTTTTATATATTTTGTTATTTATTCTTTTAATAATGGGATTTTTAAGAAAGTATTTTGTAACTGAGGAATTTTGATAATTTGGGGATGTCCTTCCCTCGGCCCAGTGGAGAGAGAGACGGTTTTCTTTTCCCTTCCGGTTCCTTTGGTCCCAGGCCCCGGGCGGCGCTGGAACCCTGTATTCACTGCTCGCTTGCGTGTAGCGCAGCTGTGTGTCGTGTCGCGTCCGTGCGCGGGGTTGGGATGGCCGCCGCAGCGCCGCGTGCCGCCCGCCCCGCCCCTGTGCCCCGTGGCTCCGACACTGTGACCCCCCTTCCTCAGGAAACGCGCGGAGCCCACGGCACAGCACTTCGCGGTGTGTCTGCAGGGTGATTTCCTAATAAAAGTCCACTCCGACTGTGAGTGTCGTGAGGACGCTGCCTCTGTCCTGAGCGCTCCCGGTCGCCCGGTGCGGGGTGGGGGTGGGGGGTGGGCTCAGCCACCTCAGCAGGAGCCTGCATCTCCCCCCCTCCCCCAGTGTGCTTGACAAGCCCTACTGCTCGGCACCTGGCCCACGCAGTGGGTTCCGTAGGGCAGGGCTGGGGAGAAGTCCTGCTGCAGTTGTTAAGGGGACGTTGTGGGGGTGCTGGCCTGGCCATCTCCCCTGGCCACAAGGAGAAAGCCTGCAGTAGGAGAGAGTTTGCACCTTCTCGAGGGGGACAGGGCTGAGAAATGGAGAGAAGGGTGGAGGTGGGAGGGGAGGAGGCAGAGGGGTCTCTCATGACCTTGCCAGAGCGCCTGGGTCCAGCCATACCTGAAGCCACTTCCCCGGCACATGAGGCACAGACCCCTTTTATTCTGCGTGAAGGTTGTGGCGTTGCAGGAGCACCTCGCCGGCGCACACCATGGGGGCAGACAGAGCTCCAGCCCCTGGGGTGAGACTTAGATCAGGGGCTTCCAGTCATGTCCAAGCCGAGTGTCAGCACACTCTGGCCTCCCTGGGAACCTGGTCCTGCAGGCCAGCACGGAGCCACCAGCTAACCCATGAGACAAGGAAAAGCTTGGGAAATTCTGGTTCTCGTGAGGCAGACTGGGTCCAGGGAACATTTGCGGGGGGACATTTGAGGTGCCTGGAGGGCTCTGACTGAGGGCTGTGGGGACCACAGAAGGAGGCACCACAAGGGAGAAAGGGGCCAACCCGCTGTGGGAGGCCCCAGGAAGGACTCCTGGGCACCCCTTTGTGGAAGGCCCCTAGGGTGGGGGGCTGTATCCACTCACACCAGCATGCAGATGCTCGGATGCAAGTGAGACTGACTCGGCGGTGTCTTGTCTGCACGCTGAGCTGCAGCCAGAAGTTCTGCAGTCCGCTCTTCCCAAACCGGCCCCTCCTCATGGAGGCTGGTGCCCTCTTGCGCTCCTCCCTGAAGCTTTTCCTCTGTCCTCTCCCAAGTCACAGGAGACAGTGAGGGGTGGCGAGGTGGGGGGGGGGGCGGCTGTTAGAGGGGGCAGGGACTCTCAACCGTGGGACCTGCATCCTCGGAAACATGGTGTCCTGTACACAGACCCTGGACCCTGGTCTGATACCACCTCTTTGTGTCAGGTGTCCCCAAGAGAAAGCGGACTGACAGGAGACCGATTAGACAGATGACAGATTTATTTTGACGAACTGCTTCCTGCGAGGGAGGGCTCAGTGGGGACCCTGCCGGGCTAGTCAGCAGGCTGGAGGTGCAGGAGGAGCTGCACCCAAAGGCTTCTGGGGGTGGGGATCCCCACCTCCTTCCCAGGGGGTCCATGCCTCTGCTTAAAGGGCTTGACCAGGCTGGCCATCGACCACATCAAAGGGAATGCCTTCCCAGCAACACGCAGACGGGTGTCTGACCAGCCACCTGGGCACGCAGCCCGGCCAAGCGCACACAGAAAACCAGCCACCACGGACCCTGCCCTGTGCCCCTGCATTGCTAACTTTTTATTAGGGTGTTTTAAGATGAGAAATTATTTCATGAGTCGTTTTGCACAGACGGAGATGGATATTAGCGTCCACAGATACTTTCAGATCGACACCATACCGCAGCCTCCTGTGAGGGACAAACAGCAGAGAGGCCCTGACCTGAGTCTGAGCACCGGTGGACTGCACGCTCTGGCTGCACACGCTATAAATGGGAAGAAATAGTTTTTCTCTTTGGGGAGATCTTAGGACGGTCCCAGCTGGACAACTGTGCTGTGGCGACACCTAGTGGCGAATTTAGCTTCTTGTTATCACTGTCCCCAAGTGGCTGGGGACTGGGGAGCAGACTTTCCCTGCTGATTTCATCCCCCAATCAGATGCACGAGAGAAGGTTCAGGCATAAGGCCATCCGACCCTCACTCTGCTTCCCGGGCCGAATGCTGTTTCATGCATGTGCAGGTAAGAATCCCAGAGGCCTGGACACTGGGAGTGGGCATGAGACCTCCCTGTCCCCTGGGGATATCAGAGGGGTGGCCGGGGTGGGGGTTCTCCACACCCTCTTCCTCTGCCAAAGGCAGTGCGGCGGCTGTGGCAGCCCTTCCTGGCTGACAAGGGAGGAGCCCCGCACCCGGCACCCGGCAGGGCTTGTGTGTCCGATTCCACTCCACCAGCCAGAGAGGGCCCCTGTCCGCAGCCCTGACTCTGCTTCCTGATCACTGTCTGAGGTTTAGACACAGGCTTCTCAAAAACAGGATGTTGTGTGCAAAACGCCCAACTGATGAAACGTTTTGTATTTATTGTCATCACAAAGGCAATACTTGCCCAGAGTGAAAGTGGCCAGACAGCACTGTGGTGAATAAAACAAGAAGCCTCATCCTCAGCCAGAACCCGGACACCCGTGGAGACCCCCGATACATACATTCCCCACGTGCCACCCTTTCCAGGGCCCTTCACGCCCTGTACGGATCTGTTTCCCTCGGGTGTCACTTGCTTCTTGTCTGGAAATCTCCCCTTACTATGTCATGCAGTGTGACTTCTTCTTCTAGGTTGTACTTTATCATTTTAAGAAATTAGCCATCTGTACTTTTGAAAGCAGTTTTAGGTTGACAGAAAAAGTTGTAGAGATGGTACAGAGCCCTATCATTAGCATCTTGCATCAGTGTGACACATTGTTGTAATTAATATACCAGGATGGATAGATTGATTCAGGTCCACAGTTTGATTTCATGGATCGTGAAAATATCATTGGAAAATGTCCTTGCCACACCCAAGTCAACTAGATTTTCTTCTGCGTTACTTTGTAGGACTTTCATTTGAATATTGTGAGGTTTGCGTCCAGCCTCATTCTGGGGCACGTGGATGTCCAATTGTCCCAGCACCAATGGTTGAAAAGACTATCCTTTCTCCGCCGTGCTGCCTCAGCTTCTTTGTCGAAGATGAGTTAACTGCATTTGTGTGGGGCTATTTCTTGGCTCTCCGTCCTGTTCCATCAGTCTATCTGTCCACGCTTTCACCAATTCCATACTGTCCTGATGACCATCATTTACAGTGAGTCCTGAAGTTGGGTGTGTCAGGCCTCCAATTTTGTTCTCCTCCAATGTTGTATAGGGTTTTCTGGGGTTTTTTTTGCCTCTCCATATTATTTTGTTTATTATTTTTTATTTATTGATTGTCGAGAGAAAGAAAGGTTGTGGGGGAGAGAGAGGGACAAATCAATTTGTTGTCCCACTTGTTTATGGGTTGCTTCTTGTATGTGCCCTGACCGAGGGCATCTGCAACCTTGGCGCGTTGGGACAACATTGTAATCACCGTTAGGTGGAGTCTGAGCAGCGACCACTTTGGGACTGATTATTTCTCCTGGCTGAGGCAAGACCCTCTGTGTACTCTGTCCAATGTCCCATGGACCACCAGGCTTCCAATCTGGCTGGTAGGGACAGGCACTTCTCCCTGCCTGATATGACTGTGGCCATTGTCACTTCTAATCATGCTTTTGCTGCCTGGGGCTGTCTCTGTACACGCAGGGGCTTACTAATTCTCTGCGGCATCCTCGAGGGGGCCTGCAGGTCTCCACGACGTTCCTCGTATCCAGTCTGCTTTGGGGCTGCTGGCTGCCTCGGTCTCCCTGCACTCTCAGCTCCACTTCTTCCCCTCAGGGGGTCCTCCAGGCCCTGCGTGGGCTCCCCTCTGCCTTGCAGTCTGGGAACTGGTGGGAGCAGAAGGGGCGATTGAAGGCTTGGCCCAGTGGTTTCTCATCTCCCAGGAGTCTCTGAGCTTCGCTGTGTAACAGCCAGAGTCCAAAGAACTGCTGCTTCACAGATGGGTCCACCTCTGGTGCTGGCAGGCAAGAGAGCCTGTCCGGCTCCTGCCGTTCCGTCTCCGTCGCAGCTTCAGAGTTTTTGGTGCAGAGTTCTAGTTGCAGTCGATGAAGAACATTCTGGAGATGACGGTGGTGATGGTGACACAACAATGTGAATGTGCTTAATGCCAGTGTAATTAATGGTTAAAGTGATACATTTTATGTTATCTGTATATTTCCACAATAAAAAACTTAAAAGGGGGGTTACCTGAGTCAAAGGAAGCCTTAGCACTGCACTTTGAAGACACCACAACCCAGAATGACCCTGACCAATGGCCAGCAAGGGTGACTCAACAACCCTGGCAAGTGAGGGCTTGTCAGGCGGCCCGTGCAGGGGAAACCGCCTGGCCAAGAACGGCCCAAAACCAGATGCCGTCAAGCACAACTCCCCTGCTCTGAGATCAGGTCCACCTCCAACAGTCTAGGGCTGTGATTCGACACCTCCCGCGCCCTGTCCCACTGGCCACCAAAGCTTAGGTTCGTCAGTTTTACCAGGCGGCCCTGTCAGCTGGAGGTGAACAAAGCGGACACACCCTTACCCGGCCCTAACCCTGCCTCTTCTTCCCGCTGGTAAGCCGTTCCTGTCCTTCCTCTCTCTCAGGCCCGCAGACTTGCATGCGGGTGCATGTACTGAATTGTGTTTCACCCCCCCCCCCCGGATCCTTTGTGTTTGAGGCCAACACCCAGGAACCACAACGCTGTGACAGTAGCGTTTGTTTCTTCAGATGACACTGCTGGACTTGGGAGTCATTTGAGATGTCTTCCCTTGTCCTTTTAGGACAAAACAGCTGTGCGATAGTGAAACGTGTTTGTTCACAGCTGACTTTGCTGGACAGCTTAACCAGGCTGTCCCCACTGCGGGGTTCTCTACTGGGGCCTGGGAAAGAGGGCGATTCTGCTCCAGGGAGGTGGTGCAGGTCATGCAGGCGAGGGCGGTGGGGGGGCGGGGCAGAGCACGGACAGGAGGTCCGGGTCTGGCTTGCTGACGTCAGCACACTCTAGGCGGGATCCATCTAGTCCTTTCCTCCCTAGCCCGAAAGATCCTCCCGTGCCACCCACACCACAGCAGTCCCCGCCGCCCGTGGCTGTCCAACGCTCTGCCTGTCGTGCTCATAGAGGGGTCCTGGCTCGCGGTGCGGCGCCAAAGCGATTTTCCTCGCGCCCAGGGGCGTTCTGACCTCTGCATCCCCGTGGGGTCAAGGCCCGCCCTGTGTCTACGGGACGCGCCTCGCAGTCAGTCCACCGGGCGCGACCTCGTGGGCGGGGCCGAGGGCGGGGTCAGCAGGGAGGGGCGGGGCCGGGCCCACCCACAGCGCCGTTACCCCTGTCTGCGCCGGGCCGGGGCGCACGCGCAGTCAGGCCGTTGCCCGCGCAGGCGCACTGGGGCGACGGATGTTTACGGCTGTGGAGGTCGGAGCGGCGCAGGCTGGCGGCGGACGGGCGAGCGGCGCCCGGGGAGCTGCGGGTCGCGGGCCGGCGGAACCCGGAGGTAGAGCCGCCGCCGCCGCCCTGGGCCCCTCTCTGCTGTCCACCTGTGCCCGCTCCCCGGCCCGAGCGCCCGCCCCGGGCCCTCCCCGCCCCCCACCCCGTCCCCGTCCCGCGTCCCCGGAGCGCGTCGTCACAGCCGCGGGGCGCGGCGGCTCCCCAAGTTGCGCGGCGGAAACGTCCGCAGTTAGTTTCCGGGCGAGTCAGGGGTCCCCGCGGGTCGACGCAGACAGGACCCGGGGCCTCGGCGGGGGGGACAGTCGCCCCCAGCCTGGGGTCACGGGCGGGCCGCGCCCAGCGCGGGGACAGCCCCTCGCGTCGCTGCGGCTCGGAGAAGCCGCTCGGCCCGCGTCCCGGCGTCAGGCCGTCCTGCGGGGGCAGCGGCGCGGGTCCGCCCGCGCGGCTCGCTGACCCGGCCCGGGCGCGGGGGTCCCGGGCGACACTGTCCGCGGCACGACGGCGAGCCCGGCGGGCGCAGGTCCAGACGTCGGGGCCGCGCGGCGTGGGGTGGACGCGGCCCCCGGCCCCGCGTGACCCCGGCCCGGCCGTCAGCGGCGGCGCTGGGCGCGCACAGCGGCCCCGGAGCGTTGGAGAAGGATGACCCCGCGTTTTTCGTAAGAACTCGGGCTTTCAGGAGGAGAAACCTCAGTTTCTTCCGTCGTCCTTCTCGCCGGGGGTGCGGCTTTGGGCTCCTTTCCCAGCCGCCTCCCACGCGAGTCACTTTGCCTTGACCTTCCCCGAGAAGCGGCACTCCGGTTGGGACAGGGGCCCCCACGCGCCGCCGACAAGCCCCGAGGCCTGGACGGGACCTCACGTGCGAGCCCGCAGGGCCGGTCACTGCCCGCGGCCCTGGGTCCGGTGGCGCAGCCTCAGAAGAGCAGTTCTCGTCCCTTCGCCCCGTGGGGTCTGCGCGGCCGCGCGGCCTTGGCCGCGGGGACACGGAGGGAGTGTGAGAGGCCCCCAGGGTGTTGCCGCCTTGAGAACAGTCGGAAGCGTTTGTGGGGGAGACACGGGCTTACGGCCAGTCCTGGGTTTGCATTCCAGGCCGGCCGGCGGGTGACGTCAGCAAAGCGAGCGCGCTGCCGCGTCCGTTCGCCCGATGGCGTGCTGAAGCCAGAAGGCGGTCGTGACCGGCAGGTGGTGCCTGTGAAAAGGTTGGACTGTTTGTAGTGGAAAACAGACAAGCGAACACACTAGCTCTTGCACACGAATACACTTTCAAAGTGAGGTGAAGTGGGAGAGAGGTACGCAAAACGAAGCCCGTGTTTGCCGAGCGTGGCACAGCTTCTGGGTGAGAGGCCCTGGCGGTGGGGGGGGGGTGGGGGTGGGGGGGGGGGGGGGGGTGGGGCTGTGGTTCCAGGCCGTTTCCCGGCAGGCCCTGGAGCGGCCGCGCACAGCTGCACTTGTCGCCACTGACCCACATCTCCAGAGGACTGTCCTAGACCTGGGGTGCGGACTTCAGCCTGAAAACTAAGTGGCTTATCCCAGATTAAATTCGACCTCATTAGCACTTTGTCCCGCCCGTTTGACTGGCCTGGGACGAGACCTGACCAGGGCTCTGACACAAACCGGGGCTGGAGACCTGACCATCGGACCATCCGGTGGTGGGTGGAGTGCACCCTGGGCCCTCCCTCCAGTCCTGCTGATGAAGGTGGGAGGCCCTGACTCTGGCGGGAGAGAGCCCCGGGCCCGCACGTCCGTGCGCTCGTGAGGAGCGGGAGCTGTGTCACGGTGCTCGTCTCTGCTGGGGGGAACCTCTCCCACTACGGCTTCCACTTGTGAGTGGGGTGTCTCTGGGCCCACCATTCCTCACGATCCCGTCCTGTTACGAAGCCAGTGGGTTCTGAGGGTGAAGCCGGCATGAACTGCAGAGTCACAGGTCACAGTGTCTTACGGGAGTGGCCTCCTCCAGACGGGTGCTAGTCTCTGAGGTCAGACGTCTTCCTTTCCCCGCTGACTGACGCGCCGTCTGGTGCTCTGTTACCGTGTTGTGTTCAGTACAGCTGTTAGTCCGAGAAAGTGTCGTGGAGGAGCGTGACGTGGGAACAGATAATTCCATTCTTTTTGGAAGAGTAAGACCTCTACAGAGCACTTTCCCTAAGAATTCGGTGACAGTACATGATGTACCATCAGTCGGCCCAGAGGCGACGCAGTGCTGCCTTGTGCTCTGGAAGGCAGGTGGGAAGAAGGTGACAAGTGTCCAATTGCCTCACAGAGCTGGAAAGGCTAGACTTGGCAAAGGGTACGGGTTCGAGTAGCAGCTCTTCCTGCCCATAAACTGCAGCCTAGAGACAGACGTTGTGTGTGTTGTGATACTGTTTGTCACAAGAGTCTGTTGGGTGAGAGAGTCTGTGGCTGCTGTCTCTGCCTGAAGTCTGTGCACTGGGGTGTCCAGGCGCGAGGTTGTCGGGCGTGCTGTGCGTGGGGTGCAGAGCTGCCCGGTGAGACACAGGACACCACCCACAGCTGAATTTCGGATAAGCACCAAATACCTTTCAGTGCCTGCTGTCCACCCGAGTTCCAGCGTGTTGTGCTTTGAAGACGCACAGAAAGGGAGCAGAGCAGTGGCCCAAGAAGGGGCTCCCGACGCCTGCTCTCGGGTTTGCACTTGGCGGTTTCGCCGCAGGTGCACGTGTCCCCGCGGAGGCAGGCCTGCCTTCAGGACGAGTTTCAGCCTGAATTCCAGACTTGGCAGATTGACAATGAAAGCCAAGTATGGAAATCACAGTTTAATGATGTTTTAAAGTTGTTTAATATGTGTTAAGTGTCTCAAGGTCGTTAGAATTCAGTTGATACTGTGAGGGACAGACTTCCTTCTGTGTGGATATCATCGAGTTTATTTCCTTCCGAACCTGATGTCTTTGGGGCTGGGGCAGGTGGGCGTTGACCAAATGTATCCATCTGTGTTACTTTCAGAGGCCAGAGTTTGCAGCGGGCCTGTGCTCCGAACGTGCATTGCTCTGCATCTCCTGTGACCGTGAACAGCTCTTCTGGCATGTTCTGACCTCAGTGCTGCCCCCGGGTGCTGGTGAGCATGGGCGGGGCCGTGAGCGCCGGCGAGGACAACGACGAGCTGATCGACAACCTGAAGGAGGCGCAGTACATCCGCACCGAGCTGGTGGAGCAGGCCTTCCGCGCCATCGACCGCGCGGACTACTACCTGGAGGAGTTCAGGGAGAATGCGTACAAAGACCTGGCGTGGAAGCACGGCAACATCCACCTGTCGGCCCCGTGCATCTACTCGGAGGTGATGGAGGCCCTGGACCTGCAGCCAGGCCTCTCGTTCCTGAACCTGGGCAGTGGCACCGGCTACCTGAGCTCCATGGTGGGGCTCATCCTAGGTAATCGGGAGGGCCTGCGGCAGAGGAGAGGCCGAGGGCAGTGTCCCGCGCAGTGGCCTGTCCAGCTGCCCCCGGCCTTCCCGGCAGTTGTCCGGTGTCATTTACTGACAGTCGCTGGGGGCGCTGGTGAAGGGAGCCCAGGGGCACCCTCCCACCTCTGTCCCCTCCCACCTGGGCCTCCAGCAGGGGCGCAGCAAGCCCCCTCCTGGACAGCAGAGCCCCTGACCGCGGCGCACATCTGGACACGGCCTGGTTTGTTTGCCTAATGGAGTCATTCTGTCCCCAAATTGAGAAAAATTAACTTCAAGGTCCCCTGGGAATTAAAGTTCTCTGAAGCAGTTTTTGTCTCTTTTGGCATTTGAATACCGGAATAACTAATATCTGTATGTTTACTTTTAATTGAATTCCAGGGTGAGGGATTTCACAGTTCATCTTATTTGAAGCCATTTGGCAACGGTGTCAGATATCTGAGGATTAGTTTAATTCCTACTTGGGGTAAAATGTGGTGGGGGAAAGGCATGGTAACAGCTGTTGTGGCCGAAAGCTTGGCGGTGGCGGGGTTTATTGAGGAGGAGCGGGACCGGGTCCTGGGCATCGAGGCCAGACCCTGGCAGCCTTGCTGCGGGGAAGAGGCAGCCTTGGCCCATCCTGGACGGGTGGGGGGCCTGGCATTACGGTGAGTTTGTGGAAGAAAGGTGTAAGTTGTTTTGAAGGGATTCACGGTGGGTGTGGATGGGGGAGGGAAGGGGAGGTGGGCCAGTTCTGGGACAGGTGTGCCGTCCGTGAGGGTTGGCCGTGGGGGGCAGGGGGGCAGACGCACGTGCGAGGGAGACGCAGGCGTCTGGCGTGGGGCTGGCCCTCCGGGTGAGAGCTGAGACGGTGCCCGGGAGCCGAGGCAGACACACTGCTGGGGTGTGTGTGAAGGGGCGACTGCCCCCTGAGGAGGCGGCACGTGTGGGCCAGCACCTCTGTCCCCATTCGGTGTGTCCCTGGAGCGCCCTCTTCAGGTCGTTCCGCCCTGACACTGTTTCTCGCAAATCCCTCCAGGGGTCAGAACCTCACACTGGCCTCCCGGTGCCTGCAGATCTGAGGTCTAAAGGCCTTCAGCCGACACAGGGTCCTCCCTCTTTCTCACCACAGCTGCCTTTTTGCCTGGCCCTGAACTTGATCCCTTTCCCGCCACATTCCTGCTTGTTTTGTGGGCTCCTGTCCTTGGTGAGGGCCCATTTGCAAAGACATGTTTCTTCTTCAGTTTATTAGTTAGACTGTGAACTTCTGTTTCAGACCTTGGCTTTTTTAAAAAAGTCTCCACCTGAGGACATGCGTTCTTGATTTTGGAGAGAGGAAGAGAGGGAGAGAGACACCAACAAGTGAAAGCACCATCTGTCAGTTGCCTCCTGTCTGTCAGTTGTCCCTGTGTCCAAGCAGGGACCGGACCTGCAGCCTGGGCATATGCCCCGACTGGGAATGGAGACCTTTGGTCTGCAGGACAGTGCTCTGAACCATTGAACCACACTGGCCAGGGCAGATCTTGGCTGTTTCACATTTTCAAATACTTCTCCAGAAGTTGGAGAACAGGGAGGCTTAGGCTTTGGAAAGCCGTGGAATCAATAACTCGGAGAAGCGAGCATTTTTGATGTGAGCAGAGGCTGCCCTGTGTGCAGGGCAGTGTGGTGGTCTGGGCCAGTCGTGCGGTGAGACTGGAGGGCTCATGAACTCTTGCAGCTGCTCTCGCAGAGTCAGACCCTGTGCAGACGAAGCGGGAGCAGTGCGGGGTGCTAGGTGTTGCTCCAGTTCCAGCCCTTGTCTTGTCTGAACCTTCCAGGCCCTTTTGGTGTGAACCACGGTGTGGAGCTTCATCCAGACGTGACTGAGTACGCAAAGCAGAAACTAGACTTCTTCATCAGGACCAGCGACAGCTTCGATAGGTGAGGCCAAGGCCTGGCCCTCGGGGGGCTGCAGTGGGACCTGGGCGAGATGCAGGGTTCCAGGACCGGCGTGTGATGGGAGAGCAGGGCGTGCATAGGCGTGTCCTCGTGGTGTGAAAGCGTGTTGTCCTTGTAAGGGTTTGTGGGCTGGGAGCCTGGGTGGAGGCGACTTCTCGCCGATGCGGCGAGAGAGGAGACAGCGTGTTCGCTTCGCTCAGTCCTCAGCGTCTCCGACGGAGACGTCTCATCAGCTGTTTCCGAAAGGGAAGTGTTACATCTGTCTTTAAACAGCCCTTGTAACTAACCCTTGCCATTTTTAAACAAAGCACGGAAGTTCTTACTCTAGGGATTACCATTTTCAGAAAAACTGAATGTGTTTCACGTGCCCTCATCTTCCTCGTGCAGCAGCCTTGCAGCAAAGGAACGAGTTAAATGCAGAGCAGAGATGAGGCTGATTGGAGGGTGATGGTTTCAGCTTGGATCTTGCTCACGATACTCACTTTCGTGATCTGTGGTTTGGAACTTGCAGGGTTCCAATTATTAATAGTTTAATCCGCCTGAGCTCCGGCTCCCAGTTTCTGGCGGGTTACGTTGTATCGGGTTGCTGTGCGACTGTAGATGACAGTGTCTGGCCTGTGGCTGCGTCACGGGGTTACTGTAGAGACTCGGCACAGGTCCCCGTTTGTGGGACGAACACAGTTTTCACTGGCAGGTTCGACTTCTGCGAACCCTCCTTCGTGACCGGCAACTGCCTGGAGATCGCGCCGGACTGCTCCCAGTACGACCGGGTGTACTGCGGCGCCGGCGTGCGCAAGGAGCACGAGGACTACATGAAGAGCTTGCTCAAGGTGGGCGGCATCCTGGTCATGCCGCTGGAGGAGAAGGTCAGACCCCTTCCCGGCTGGCGTCCTTGTGCGCGCGCCCTCCGCCAGGGTCTGCTCAGGAGGTCGACGTGTTTCCCTGTCACCTTGTGACTACTGCCCGTGCCCCACAGATGAGGAGACGCAGGCAGGGGCAGGTGCTGGCTCCGCAGAGCCACCCTGAGCGCCCCCCGGTCTCTGCCCCCCGCCCCTCCCCTGAGCTGAGCCCCTGCCCCTGCTGTGCTGTCAGGAGGTTAGTATGTGTCGGAAGGACCGGAACGAGTGTGTTCTGATTGGCAGTCTGGTTGTGACAGGCTGCGCTGGTGAGTGTTGCACCTGAATCTCGTGTGAGAGTCGTGCCCAAGTCTGCTGTGTGGTCATGAAGGTCTCTGTGTGTTTTCTTTTTTCCTTGCACTTTCCCACTGCCATTTAGTCCCTTAGACCCCCACCCCAGCCCCTCCACACTGCTGTCCATGACCATGAGTCCTTTTACCTCTTTGCTTGATACCCTCCACCCCCTAAATCCCCTCCCCCCGTGGCTGTCATCCCGCTTGTGTGTCTTTGATGTTGTGCTTAAATGGGAAAGGCAGACATGACTAGGTCATGGGGATGGATGTCTCTCTGTCACAAGACCTAGGAAAGATGGAAGTGATACAATTAAGAGAGTGTGTGTGTTTTCACAATTTTCAGTAATTAAGAAAAGGTTTTATTTATTTGTTTTTAGAGAGAGAGGGAGAGAAACATCAATGTGTGGTTGCCTCTCATGCGCCCCCTCCTGGGGACCTGGCCCACAACCCAGGCCTGTGCCCTGACTGGGAATCGAACCAGCGACCCTTTGGTTCACAGGCCGGCACTCAGTCCACTGAGTCACACCAGCCAGGGCAGTTGTCTGTAATTTTCAAATGTTCACATTTAGTTTATTTTGATCTTTTTTGTCGGAGAAGCGTTTGTTCACCTTAGGAAATGAGTGGATCGGGGACATTGCCCCCAGTTTCCACCCTGATGGCCGAGTGCGGCCCTCGTGCCTGCCGGTAGCATGGGTCCTTGTGAGGACGGGGCTGCGTGTTTCAGGTTGCACGCAGGCTCGTGTGCGGGGGTGCGTGACCGCGACCTCCCGTCTGCCAGCGCTCGCACCGCGGTCCGTGGTGCTGGCCCAGTCCGTGCCTGCGTGCCTGCGCCTCAGCCCGGACACAGGCTGCGTCGTCCCCACGAGGCGATGTCACTGGAGGCCCCGTGAAGTGAAGACAGTGAGGGAAAAACGAAAGGTTCACGGGAGAGACCAGTGAGTCTCCGGAAATAAAAACAAGTCCGCTCACGCCGACCTGACCCGGTGGCTCTGTGACCCCCGGGAACTCGGCTGCAGTGCGGGCTGCTGGGGACCGTGCCCTCCCGTGGGAAGAAGCTTGCTCGTAGGCGTCGAGCCTGCGTCCGTGCCAGGGTCGGTCTCTGGGAGGTGACCTCGCAGCCAGCCCCAGCCCCAACAGTCAGCGGTGATTTCTCAGTAGCTTCAGACGCCAGCCAGTGTTCGGATTGCCATGATTGTCTCAAAACGCACCTGAACCGTGTGTGTGGGTCGGGCCAGTGCCTGGCTTGCGATTTGCGTCTGGTCGACGTGTCTCCCACGTGTTTTTCCATCGGCGAGTTCTTTTTCTTGGCAGTTTACTTGTTGAGGACGTGAGGTCATTCGGCCTGCAGAGCAGCCTGGACCTGGGGCCGCACGTCTGGGTGCTGGTGTCTCCCATGTTCTTCCCGGGCTGTGCCCCCTGGGAGCCGGCAGCCGGGGTCTCTGGCCCGCGCTCCGCGTCAGCACCGCCCCGTGCGACGCTCGTCTGCTGTGCGTGGCGCCGCCATCCCCACCAGCTCTCTGATTTCTGCCACTGGCGGAAGGTTTCCTGCCTTTTTGCCTCTCGACTCCCCCAGAGACGTGCGAAGTGTGGCGCCCAGCCCGAGGGAGCCCTGCTGCTCCCGGCAGGTCAGCGTGGGGCGTGCGTGCGTCCGCGCTCACGGGCGGCCGTGCGGGCCCTGCTGGTGTGGCGGGAACCCGTGGGGCTCGTGCTGCAGCCACGTCGCCGCCGGGCGAGCCCGAGGGCCGTGGCCCCGGGCGGGGTCTCGTGCTCACCCGGGCGGCGTGGGGGTGTGCCACTGTGGGGGCGCGCCCGGCGTGTGTTGATGGCGCTTAAGCGTGTGATGCTCGCTGTGACGAGAACGTCTCCTTTAAAAAACGTCTTTGCTGACATTCAAGAATGCGAGTAACTTTTTTGTCTGGCGGGACTGCTGCTTTTGTCTCTGAGATGCACGACTCAGGGTCTTAGTTCTCCGAGGGTCTGCTGCTGCGCGGGAGGGGGCGGGTCCGCGCCGCACGCCTGAGCGGACGGTGCAGAGCACCGAGACCCAGTGCAGCCGCTGCGAGCCCTGCTCGGAGGAGCCCCCCTGGGGCAGCGCCGCTGGGTGCTCACTGGGGCTCTTCAGGGCGCAGCTCCCGTGGGCCCTGTGCTCCCGGGCAGAGTGGACGCCCTCCGGACGTCTCTGTGAGGCTGTGACCGCGGCTGTGTGGTGCTGGGCGTGGTCCCCACGGGCTGTGGGGAGCCCTGGCTGTCCCCTTCCCGCCTCCCCAGCACTGAAGGTGGCTGTGTCAGGAGCCCTTGTCCTTGTCTGCTCCCTCCTCCCCGGCGTGGTCCCCCGAGACGGGCGGGAGGGGAGAACCGTGGGTGCGCTCCGAGTGAGCCCGCTGGCAGCGCTGTGAGTGAGTCGGTCCGTGTCACCTCACGTCAGGGTCCCGTGGCGTCGGGCCCCCCGGGGACCCCTGAGTCTGCGCGTTCAGGCCGCACATGGGGACGACGGTCTGTGCTGGCCGGCCAGCAGCCGAGGCCTGCGCACACTCTCGCTCTGTCTCTGGGCAGCTGACGAAGATCACCCGCACCGGCCCCTCCGCCTGGGAGACCAAGAAGATCCTGGCCGTGTCCTTTGCCCCGCTGGTCCAGCCGCCCCGCTGCGAGTCCGGGAAGTCCAGGCTCGTCCACCTACGTGAGTGCAGGGCCCCTGCGCGGCGTCCGACCTGTCGGCCTTGTCGGAAGGAGCCCCTCGGGCTCGAGGCCCGGGCTCGAGCGGTCGCCGCGGGGCGGGTCAGCCCGCGCTGCCTCTCGGGGCTCCGGAGGCGGCTGTGCAGCCGCGGCCTTGCGTTCCCAGCCTGGAAGAGTCACGTGGGTGAAGACAGTGCATTGGGAGGTCATGGGGTGTGGACAGGCCAGCCGGGTGGACGAGGGACCAGCAGGCAGGAGCCAGCTGGGGGGCGATGGGGGCTGTCCAGGCCAGAGGGCAGGTCAGACCGGAGACGCCGGCCTGGACGCGGGAGGACTCGGGGGGGCTCACGGGGACCTCCCTGGCGTGGGTTTAGGGCAGGCTCTGGGCCCTGGTGGGGACTGCGCTAGAGCCCGCCAGACACTGGGGCTGCCGGCCAGTGTCTGCTGAGGCCACAGGTTGGACGTCGGAGGGAGGAGTGAGCACGCAGAGGGGAGAAGAGTGGAAATCAGAGCCTGAGGAAGCAGCACTGTGGCCAGGTGGAGGGGGAGCCAGTGGGAGACTGAGGCTGGGACCAGAGCTGGGCCACCTCCCCTGGTGGCTCCCTGGGGAGGCTGGCGCTGGTGCTGGGAGGTCGGGTGGCCTGTGAAGGACTCGTTCCAGCCGCCTCAGGAGCGGCAGTGAGGGGCAGGGTGAGGCCTGGAGGCCTTCCTGGAAGAGGAGGACAGCAGAGCAGAGAGAAGGGTCGGTGCTGATGTGAGGACAGGGCGCTGAGAGTGGAGTTGTGGGAGCTCCCAGGCTGCCCTGGGGCCGTGGGCATTTGCTGAGACTCTGGGCAGGCCCCTCCAGGTGGGCAGGCCCCTCCAGGTGGGCTGACAGAGCTCCAGACGGTGAGCCCGCACTGCGGGCTGAGGTGGCGTGGAGCCGCCGGGGGGCCGGGGGGGGGGGACTGATGCCGGCCTTGAGCCGGATGGACCCAGACCCTTGATGCCTTGTCTTCTTGCTCCGGAAAGAACCGTCGCGGGCTGTGTGTGTGGGGCCTACTGGAGACTGAGCCGTCGTTTCCAGACTGGGCTTTTCTTTGGTGCGCTTTAGAGTTTTGTTTTGTTTTGTGTTTTTAAAGAGAACTTTAAAGATCACTTATTTGTTTATTTTTAGACAGGGGAAGGGAGGGAGAGAGGGGGAGAAACATCCGTGTGGGAGAGGTACACTGATCAGCGCCCCCTGCTGGGCACCTGGCCCGCAGCCCTGGCCGCGCCCGGACTGGGAATGGAACCGACGCCCTTTGGTTCTCAGGCCGGCGCTCGGTCCACGGAGCCCCACCAGCTGGGGCTAGAGTTTTTATTCTTAAAAAGGTTGTGGATTTGGTTTTCTCTGCTTTCACAAAAAAGGGAGTGGTCTGTAAAGCGCTGTGAGCTCCTTAAGGCGGAAGTGAGCGTGCAGGACGAGAGGGTCGGTGAGGAGACGCGGGGTGGGCGTGGGCGTGGGGCGGGGAGATGCAGGAAAGCGGGGCCAGGCTGCGGCTCTGCCCGCGGGGCAGCCGGCAGGGCTGCTCCGCGCTTGTCTGGGTTCAGGGCCACGTCTGCTCGTGCAGCGTCTCCTGAGGAGCGCTCCCGGGCTGTGCCGTGTCCGAGGACACGCGGGTTTGGGGTGGCGAGGCCCGTGCTGCCGCCACAGACGCTGACGCCTGCCCTTTGCCCCGCAGCCCCCCCGGCGGTGCGCAGCCTGCAGGACCTGGCCCGCATCGCCATCCGGGCCGCCGTCAAGAGGGCCATCCGCCAGGAAGCGGCGAGCGGGGGCGGGGGCGCGCCGAGGACCACCCCCAGGCTCAAGCGGAGGAGAGTCCGCCGCCGGCGCATGGAGACCATCGTCTTTCTGGACAAAGAGGTCTTTGCCAGCCGCATTTCCAGCCCGTCGGAGGACAGCGGCTGCGAGGGTCTGGACGAGGAGCCGCGGGAGGGGGAGGCGCCGAGCCCGGCCGAGGCGAGGCCCGAGCCCCCGGTGAACCTGCTGCGGGAGAAGGTGCTGGGCCTGCCCCTGCCGGAGCCCCTGAAGCGCTACCTGCTGTACCACAGGGACAAGTGAGCGGCGGCGGGCGGGCGGCCGGCGCCGCGGACCTTCTGCTGCAGCGGCCGCCCCGCCTGCCCGTCCGTCCGTCCGCCAGCCCGTCCCCCGCGTCCGCTTCGGGCTCCGTGACTGCGCGGGGCTTTCGTGGAGCGGCGGGGTTCCTGGGACTGGATCTGACCCGCGCGCGTGCGCCGGACAGCGGCGCCCGGAGAGGGCGCGTCTCCCGAGCCCGGCGCCGCCTTCCAGGCGCCGGGAAGCTCGTGGAGGCCTGCGCTCCTTCCCCGCTCGCTCGGCGGGCGCCAAGGGGGGCTGCGCGGGCACGTGAGGGGGAGCGCAGACTCGAGAGTGCACGAACTCCCGTGTGGGTGTGACGCGCGTGTGTCTGAGTGTGAGCTGGACGTTATCGGCATCCGAGTTCCTGGCCCCGAGGTTCCGCGACGTCCCCTGCTTTTCCAGAGCCGGGACCTGACTGAGAAGCCCCCCTTATTTTCAGTAAATGAAGCAACTCGTAGGGGAGTGGCCCGTTGCGTGCTCTTTAATGGTGTCGGGGGAGGAGGGATGAAAGTGTCCAGCCGCCAGGTGTCCCTCAGGAGTTCCGGAGGAACCCCAGGGGATGTTTCCTGACCCTTCGCTGCCTGTGGGAGAGCCCGCGTCTGCGGAGCCCTGAAGAGGGAAACCCGTGCAGGCGAGCAGCCACACCGCTTTGGCCCCAGTGCCGGGCAGACGGGCTTTTTAAAAGGCCCCGGGTGTCTGAGGGTCTCCGTGCGTGGTCCCCAGGGCCGCGGGAGGGTCCAGGGCTCTCACACAACCCGAGTGGTTTCTTCTCTTTAACTGCAGTCGGCAGGTGGCCCTGCCGACAGCGTGCCGCTCTGCAGGCCCTCTCTCCCGGTTCTGGAGAAGAGCGCCTGTCAGCGCCGTGGTTTCTCTGCAGAGCACACACGTGCGGACCAGCTCCTGGGGGCGGGGGGCGCGGCGTCGCTCGGCCACCTGGGCGAAGCTGCTCTCCAGGCGGTGTCTGCGGGGCCTGGCGCCGGGTCAGGGTGTGGGCGCAGGAGGAGCGGGGCCTGTCGGTCTGGGGTTGCATCATTGCGTCCAGAACATCGGCTCTTCTCCACACTTTTACCCGGAAGGGGGGAGCAGTGTCAGGTGTGCACTGGGAACCTGAACTCGCCCACCCAGGTGGAGCCCCAGACCCACGGGCAGTGTCGCCCCATGCTCCTGGGGCGCTGCTGAAGGTCGGAGTCCCTGGCCTCAGCGATGTGACTGAGTTCTGGCCCTTTTTTACCCGATTGCTTTCTCCCGAGCGACTGGGCCATCTTCGTCCCAGGACGCCGTGTGTGCGCGGTGCAGCACGGGGTGCGGGGGCACCGGCCCTGGTCTGTGCGTGCGAGTACTCCTGCAGACGGCGTCCCTCCGCCCGCATCCCTGACCGTCCTGCGAGGCCCCTGGGAGACAAGGACGTTTCTGGACACGCTGTTAAATACGTGGCACCCGTGACATCTGTCATGTTATGTTGCCCGACTAAATTTTTCTCTTGTGATTGGATGTGGATTTCACTTATTCCCACCCGTGTTTGCCTTGCAGGAAGGCAGTACGTAAGACAGGTTTCCCCTGTGTGTGCTAACCCTTTCCTGACATTTTGTACTTACATATTGTCAGTTGTTACTTTTAAACTGGAACTTGGTTAAAGATACAAAGATATAATATATACGAAATAGCTTGGTGTTTGTCTTGTAAAAGTGCAGGAGAACTGCGTGGTCTTCCTCTGCGCCCCCGTCAGCAGCTGTGAGTGAGACGCCCCCGTGCGCTCTGCTGTCGGCCACCACGCTCTGAGCAGTCTGTATTTTTATATGTGACCTTTGTCTTGAAAGTAGTGAAGCCATAGAAATGTACAAAACAAATACCAAATTTGTAGATATCAAGTGTGTAATGTAAACACCAGCTGTGTGTGTGAACATGCGTCGGCCCGCCTCGGACTCGGAGGGCTGACGCGGGACCGTGGAGCAGGTGTGTGTGGGCCGGTGTCTGTGGGGAGATGCAGGGCGTGAGTGAAGGCTGTCGAGACATTGTGGCCGTCTCAGCCTGGCCCTTGCTTCCGGTGTGGGATAAAAATGCCCAACCGCCTTTTTTTTTTTTTTTTTTAAAAAATAAACTTTTTTTCTGTTAGAATGTGTTTTCTTTCGCTCTTTGTATTATTGCGACTCTGGTACATGAAGCGCATCTGGGTTACTTTTTCTGGCACGATTTTTGTGCATCGTGAAACTGTAGGAAGGTGGCTGGGCAGGGACAATACACCTTAGTGGCAGCGAAGGGGGAGGGTCAGGGATGGTTTGGGGTCAGAGTCAGGGGTTAGGATTGGACTTTAGGGTCAGGGGTTAGGGACGGGTCAGCTGGGTCAGGGTCAGGACTTCAGTTTTTGAGGAACACAGCTCGTTTTTCATTTCCAAGTCCGGTTTTTCCTGCACACCACTGCTGACTGTTTCAGCCCACCTGGGCTGCTGTAGGGAAACGCTGTTTGGGGATTTCTGGCAGGTTCTAAACCGCAGTCGGGCGGCTGGGAACTCCGAGATCAAGGTGCCAGCAGGTGATGTGTCTGTAGCCTGTTTCCCAGCCTGCCCTGCGTCTCCCCTCTGACCTCGTGTCACGGGAGTGCAGCGGAGCTTTTTTAGAAACGTCTGCGTGTTCCCACTGGGGAGTGGGGAGGGCAAGAGCAGCCCCTGTCCGGGCTGCACCCAGCGGCAGCTTCTCGTTCTGGGGGCGGGGAACTTGGCAGGGACGGAGGTGAGAAGGTCCAGGTAGAAGGGCGCGGGGTGGGGGCCCCCATGCCCTCCCTCTGGCCGCAGGCCTTGCCCTGACCCTGGGCAAAGGCTGCCCGACTCTCTCTCCTGCTGCTTGGGGTCGCTGACGGCCTGTGGGGACTGGGGACCCGGCGGGGGGGGGGGCAGGCGGAGGTGCGAGCACTCTCACTCTGGGCGCAGGCATCGTGGCCAGGGCACGGGCCGCCGCCTCTGCGCAGGAGGTGGTGGTGGGAGACCTGGGGTCGCAGCGCTCGAGGGCTCTCTGCATGCTTTTCATTTCTTCGGGTGGGCTCCGCGCTCGAGAACTGGGGGCCTCACAGCAGCCCCACGTCCCCACAGCCCGTGGCTGCCCGAGCACCGCCCTCGAGTCGTGTGCCCTGCAGGAGCCCGGTTCCCGCTGCAGCGGTGCACACCGGCGGAACACTGGAGGGGGCCAGTCTGGCAGTGAGTGTCAGAGCCCCCGCCTGCCAGGGCCAGGGCCAGGGCCAGGGCCAGGGCCAAGGCCAGGCGTCACTGGGCCTCCTGTAAGGACCAACCTCCTCGTGCCGTTGAACATTCGTTAGTTTATTTCACCTCAGTAAGTGGGTCCAGTACATTGTAATCGAAGGGTCCTGGCAGCCACGTGAGAATCTGTGGTCCCTGAGGCGCCCTCTGCACGGGCCTCACTGGGGGTGCCCAGCTGGGGAGGCGAGGACACTGGGTCAGGTCCCACAGCAGGGGGGCTGCCCAGCAGCTCCGCCCTGTTCCTTTCCTTCCCTGGGGGCGGGGACGGACCCCAGAACAGCGAGGTTACCCTAATGATCAGGGGAAGGAGGGGCCTAGATGGGTAGTTTCTCTGTATTTTCCTTATTTTAGGGTCCATTTTAATAATGTGTATTTTTATTAGGAAATCACCCATTTACTCTGATTTTCCAGTTATGTGGTTCTTCATTCCTCCTCTGTTTTTGTACAGAAATGTTATAATTAATAAAAACATTGATACATCGTCACGAACCAAAGTCTGTCACTCAGTTTCCCGCATTCAAGGCTCAGTCCCAGTGCTGGCGCCCGTGTGTGTGTGTGTGTGTGTGTGTGTGTGTGTGTGTGTGTGTGTGTGAGCCCTGACCGGTCTCCAACCAGAGAGGCTGATGCTGGCCGCTGGGGTCCCTGGTGACCGAGTGGGGTGGGGTGGTCTGAAGTGAAACCAGGAGGAGGAGGCGGGCCTGACAAAGGGTCTCAGCACCGGGCGGACGAGGCGACTCGACTCCCTCGTCTGCGGTGTCCAGCCTTGTGGTGTCTCTGGGCCGCACTGGAAGAAGAGGAGTTGTCCTGGGCTGCACGTCAAATTCACAAACAGTACCGAAAACCGATGGGCCAAAACTAACAGGCTTTAAGTCAATGTACGGTGTTGTGTTGGGCTGTGGGTTGGACCCCTGGGCGCAGCTGTGGTGGGGGAGGCGGCTGGCAGTTCCCGGAGCTCATTCTGCTGAAAGGACACTGTTTGCTACATTCTCAGCCTCCCCAGGACATAGACAAGAACGGAGGAACACAGAAGGGAAGAAGGGGGGGGGCGAGGCTGACCACATGCTGGCGGGAGCTGAACACCCCACCTCACCGAGTCCTCTGGCCCCCTTGAGGGAGGAGGAGGCAGGAGGAGGCGGAGTTTACCTTCATTTGCCCCCGAGTCACGCAGCTGGTGGGGGGGCTGGCGCCGGGAGTCAGCTCGGCCCCTGCCTGGGGCTCCAGCCCTCCCCGTGAGGAAACTGCCACCCAGACACCACCAGGGCCTCCAGGAAGCTCATGCCAGGTGAGGCCCCAGAGGAAGGGAATGTGGGCGGAAGGGGTCCAGTGCTGCGGGGAGAAGGCCAGACTGGACACAGCGAGGGGACAGGCGAAGAGCAGAAGTGGGGAGGTCACTGCGGCAGGGATCTGGAGCTGGCTGCACCTCTGCGGGGGGGCCAAACCACCCCCTCCTCCCCGCCTGCCCTCTTCCCAGCCGCCTGCCCCAGTCCCACCCCCAGCAGCAGCCGGGGGGAGTGCGTGGCAGGCTGGACCATTAGGTTGCACGCGGGGTTCCTGTGAGCTGGACCGCCCAGATTCAGCCCGAACCTGCAGAAGCTGGGGACTCCTCTGTTTGTCCAGGGCGCCGGGTGGGCCCGCTCTCCTGGCCCATCGCGGCCCATTTGGACCTCGGTCTGGGCTTGGGACTGGGTTGGAATCAGTCTTCTCTGTAGAATGCGGTGGGCAGGTGGCCCTGCCGCTCGTAGCACAGAGGAACAGCGGGCGAGAGGAGGGGCGGAGGGTCTTAAAACGGGGATTACGCCCCAGTGAGCTTGCTGCCAAGCCCGCATTCCCTCTCGCGGGACGCGCACTGACGGCGACGCGGAGTCGGCCGAGCCCTGAGGCCAGGAGAGAGGCCTTGCTGCCCCTCGTGGGCACCTGGGGAAGAGCTCCTGAGTGGAAGCGGCGGGGGAACCGTCCTTGGGGGCTGCGCTCCCGAGGCTTGCGGGGCCGACCCTCCGCTCACGCTGCTCCGTGCGACGTGACCTCCGCGGCGGCCCCTGGAAGCGGCCCCCCCTCTCCTTCACCGGCGGCGTCAGGCCCGTCCGTGCGGCGGCGGTTCGCAGGGCCTCCTTCCTCGCGGAGGCGGGTGCTCCAGTCACCGGGCGGAAAGAACGCGAGTCGGAAATCAGAGCGATTCGGGGTCGCGTCGCCTGCGGGGGACGACCCCCGTGACGGGGGGGAGCACGGGGGGGGCACGGGGAGCACGGGGTGCGCGGGGCGGGGGCGGGAGCAGTGGGCCTCGCGTCCGCGCCGCGTCCGCACAAGGCGGGCGTGTTCCCGATCGCTCGTGTTTCTGCCGGGACGTCCGGTCCTCCTCCTTCTCCACCGCACGTCGTGCTCCGCGGGAACGAGTGTGTCTGTCCCCACCCCCCACCCCCGTGCGCGGGGGGCCCACGAAGGCACGCGCGTCCCTCTCGCCGGCGGGTGTCTGTACTGCACTCCACACGCCCGCCCCGGGCCGGACGCCCGGGGACGCTCCACACGTGTTCTCCGAGTGGACGCGCTCCCTTCTCGGGCCGACGCCGCCCTCCGAGTCGGGCCGGGCCGGGCCGCACCTTCCCGGCGCTGGGCGCGGCCTCCCTGCGGTCCTGACGGCCCCGACAGCCCGGCGGGCCCCGGAGCGCGTCTCACACCCAAGCCTGTCCCCCCCCCCCCCCCCCGGCCCGCCGGCCTCCGCTCTTCCCTCCCAGCGGCCGCAGGGCCGCGCCGCGCCGGCGGAGGAGCCCGCGTGGGTGGAGGGGCGGTCGGTGCGCGGACCCGGGAGGTGTGGGAGGCGTCTCGGGGACCGGGAGCAGCGGGAGTCGCCGGCCACGCCCCCCGGGACCTTCGGGAACGTCAGGAGGAGCCGGGATCTGGATGCTGCCCCGCGAGCGGCGGAGGGGCCGGGAGGGAGCGAAGCGTGAGTCGAAGCGTGAGTCTTGGCCTTAAGAAGGGCCAAGCGGGGCGGGAGGGGCGCTGCGGTCCCGGCGGGTCGGGGTTCGGGGTTCAGGGTTCCGGGGTGGCTAGGCCCGAGTGGGATGGGAAGGACGGAGCGTGTCAGGAAGGAGGACGCGACCCTGGTGCGCGGTGCTGGGAAGCGGTACGGGAGCGGGTTCGACCGGGGACACCTGGGGAGGTTTGCAGGTTGCCTTGGGGGCGGGTGGGGGAAGGGCCTGCGCGGAATTCGGGTGGGATCGTGAGAGACTCCAGCAGGGTTTGGGGAAAGGGCTATGGGGTGGAGACGGGACATGGGGCCGCGCGCTCAAACAGGTTTGGGGTCCCTGCTTTATAGCGAAATACAGTCATTTTAAGAAAGTTCCAAGTGTGCTTGAAAAGCATCTTTTAAAAAAGATTTTATTTATTTATCTTTTAGAGAGGGGAGGGAGAGAGAAAGAGAGAGAGAGAAACATCAATGTGCGGTTGTTGGGGGTCATGGCCTGCAACCCAGGCATGTGCCCTGGCTGGGAATCGAACCTGCGACATTTTGGTTCACAGCCCGTGCTCGATCCACTGAGCTACGCCAGCCAGGGCTGAAAAGCATTTTTAATTTACTTTTTTTTTGTTGCTGCTTACTTAAACAATGAGAAAAAATTTTACTCAAAATTCTATCCCAAGAGTTAAAAAGAACCGCTATCACTTCATGTATATACACTTGCAGATACGGTGGCGTGCACGTTTCTGTCCACTTTCTCTGGATTTCACCTACTATGTTTCAATATGCGTACACAAATTGTATCTTTTCAGCTTTTATTTTTTATCATGTTTCTTTGAAGGGTGAAGATTTTTGCCATAACTTTTGGTATGTAGTATCTTTATCCCCATTCAGTTTATTTTGTAATTCAAACTGTG